TCGGGTTGGCAAAGTCCGCAGATATATCACTGAAATACAGCTGACAGCCTGGCGTTCTGAGGTGCGCCGATCAAGGAGGAGGGCTCAGTGCAGCGCAGAATTGTCAGATGCGGGGGGGTCGGTGTGTTTCGCATCTGTGGCGGGTCCAGCTCCCGCAATTTTTTCGCGCGCAGGATCTCGTACCAAGCACAGGGCCGCTACCGGCAGCTACGGCCTGGCTCTTGCTACTTTTGTTTTTTCTCTTTGGGGGTTTGACAGCGGCATTACGGCCTTGCTCAATTGGGTTTGACATGATTTGACCGTTTGACCTTGCAGTAGACAATAGGTTAAACACGCTTGAGTGGCATCCTTGCTGTGTTTGCCTCCTCGGCAAATATGTACGGCACAGCAGCGTCTCAGTTGCCAGCCTAAAATCCCAAACCCCGCTGGCCCGCTGTCTCGAAGGCGGTCGGCTGCAGCTTTGCCACGCCTCTCCGATTGGAAGGTTTGCGCATCTCCTGTAGCACGGGTTGCTTCGGGGTGTTGGGATGCAAGGTGTGGCCGTTACGTGCAAACCTCAAGCCCAACGAGACCTTGCTGGATGCCAGATGACCTATTCCCCCTGAGCCCGAAACCCAAATGGGTATTTCCCAAGATAGGGGTACCCTTTTATACCCCAAATAGAACCCCAAAACCCTAAACCCTAAACCCTAAACCCTAAACCCTAAACCCTAAACCCTAAACCCTAGAATCCTTTAATGGGACCCCCCAAATGAGGGTACCCCCCATTCTGGAAACCCCCAAGTGGTCGAAGTGCGCCAAGCAGGCTTGCGTCGAGCCGTGGACCGCCGGCGTGCCAGGCTGCAGGCCCAAGACGTGAACAATGAATGAGTTTAGGGTTTAGGGTTTAGGGTTTAGGGTTTAGGGTTTAGGGTCTAGAGTTAAGGGTTTAGGGTGAGCCACGAAGGGCGGTTAGGGGCTTCAAGGGGGAAGAGGAAGAGGAAGGGCCTGAGAAGCAGGTGCAATGCTGCAACGAAGCTTTTGGCAGTATCCTTTCTTCGTCTTGTCTTCCCGGGCCCGAGCAATCGCCCAAGCCTTGAATCCATAAAGCCCTAATAAGCCCCAAAAGCCTTGAATCCGCCCTCAGCCCTCAACCTAACCCCAACAGGTCTCGCAGCTGCAGGCCCCCACGAGCAATGACTCTGCAGCGACGGGGGCTCAGACTTTTTTCAAGTTGAGTTGGAGCTTGGGAAGGTGCAGAGGGTGGCGGTTGGGAGCTTCAGGCACCGCACGAGCAGCCATCCACACCCTAAACCCTCAGTCGTCCTGCACACTGAACCCAGCCTAAACGTTTACCAGCATTCTCGCGTGTAACTACGACTTCTCGTGGAAGCTGCCCAACAAAATACCAACGTTCATTGAATAGGCCTCGTGACCCCCACAGTAGTTGCCGCTTGCCCGTGGCGCAGATCATGAGAGCAGGGTGCCATTGGTTGCTTCGTTTCTCTCGGTGCCACCACCCTACCCAGAGAGGGCGCCAGGCCCGCTGCGCTCAGCGCACCCAGCATCCTCTCTCACACTGTTGTGGCCGGGTGTGTGGCAACGCAGATTTTGGGCGTGACAGTGGTCCACCCTTTGGGCCAACGCGTCTCAGGGCCGAGGCACATGACAGCAGAGCAAATGGGCTAATGCGTTCTGGCGTTTGCTGCATGGCAGGGCAGGCCCCTTAAAGGAGAGCCATGTCCGTTTTTTGTTCCAAGCTACTGGCAGCGATTTGGAAGCTAAGCGTGGTTGCGGGCTTTTCAGCGTCATCGTCGTCGTCTTCGTCGTTGTTGTCGTTGTAGTCGTTGTCGTCGGTCGGTCGCTGTCAAGTTGTTGTGATCTTGTTCTTGTCATGGCTGTTGTTGGATGTCTGTTTTGCACACATGTATATATATATATATATATATAATATGTATGTGTATATGACATATATACACATCTAGATATAGTGCTCAGACAACCAAAGACAAGACACCAAGGACACCCTCCTCGAGCCGGCAGTTTCCCAGGCTCGGAAGCCACCGGCAAAGCTTTTCGAAGCCTACAGCTTGTCTCGGTAGGCCCTTGGGACATTTATATTTTCCCTCATTGGGTTTACGAGGACTCTGTTTAGGAATATTTTTCAGAGGGCTTTAAGGGCCATGCTAGTTGTCAGCCTTGCATGCATCAAAGGTTTGGGGGCTGAATATGCTAACGTCCCTTAACTACCATGGTTGTTCGTCTAGACTTGCAGAACACCTTCATTTTGTTTCCAGTATGATCTAGTTGCATGATGTCCCGAGCGGCTTTCCTAGGCCGGGCCATGAAAGACAACCTGCTTCACCACTTGGGATGTTCCCCCTTATACTAACAGTCCTTCATACGGATTATAGTACCCTCCATCAGAATCCCCATTAAGGAGCTGTTAGTATAAGGGGGAGCATCCCAGCTTCCCAAGTTTACCCAAGCCAGGGCCTTCTCTTTGGCCGAGCTGAGTGGCCGCGGCGGTGAGGGCGCGCTGGCGCTTGGTTGGCCAAGATCGATCCCCAAATAGTAGGACCTCCTTAAAATAAGGACCTTAAAATGGGGACCCCCCTAATTTCGGAAACCCCCACATTGTTCAAGGGTGCAGAGCGTGGGCAGGGCGGCCTCAGTCTCAGTTTCACAAGAAAGGATTGACGAAAGGTTTTGCACAGCGTCGTGAACGGGCGTGTGGCTTGGCGGGTCTTCCTCCGGTCGTCGGTAGGAGGGTCAAGCGCGCTTTCGGTCGCAGCTGCCTCGACTCCTTCGCCCTAACACAATCTAACACCCTAACTTTTAGCCTCGGTCACCGGGTTTTGTGGTTGAGGGCTTCTTGGGCCTTAAGTCCTGGACCCGAACGCCCTTTGACCCTGAGACACCTCGACCGAAGAAGCTGTTCGCCAGGGGTGTCGCTCGAGGAGGTCGCCAACTGTGGGGCTGCCAACCTCAGGCCAACAGCCGACTTTTTGTGGCCCTTTTCCGGTTTAGAGTGTTTAGGGGACTCTCCCAGGGGGGGTGTTTGGGGACTTGGCTGTGCGGCTAGATGCGATTGAGAGGTGGTTTGAGGGCATAGGGGGTTTGGCCGTTGCTTCTTCTCGGGGGCACATGGGAAGTACTCATGGTGTTCCAGTAGCGCGAGCAATGGCCTTGGGCTCCAGGTTTAGGGGCTTAGGGCCTGAGAACGTGATCCATCGTTGCTTTTTGACGCTACGCGACCCACCTCGGCCTGGTCCTGCCCAGCAGCGAGGCAACCCAAACCGAGTTGTGACACGCAGGTTCATGCACAGACGAGGCACCTCCCAAATGTGGTAAAACAGAAGAGCAAGGCGGACGGGGAGTGGGTGGGGTCGGGGGGGGGGGGTTGGGGTGGGTTTAGTGGTTGGAGGTGGGGTACTTGCTTCATGCTACAGTACCCTGACACCTACAGCCAGAGGGCTCGGCAGAAATCTGCTGCGCGTGACCACATGACCGAGCATGTTGCCGTGGCTCGCTGGTGTGAATAATTGCTGTATTTTCGTTCCAAGGAGGGGGGCCGGTTGAGGCCGGTGCGGTCGGCCGCGACCAAGTGACCAAACTTAGTTAAAGTCGATTTCGGCCTGTGCGCTTTCTGAGTAGACCTCAGTGTTGTCTTCTTCCTTATGAGTCCCACGATTTTTGGATTCAGTCATCCACAGGCGCTGATCAAAGCTTTCGCGTTTTCTGATTGGTGGGGGGTTTATATCCTGCAAAACCAGCCTGCTTGTAGGGCCTCGAAGTGCTTGCGAGGTTAGACAAGACTTGCTTCTCCCAGATGCGGGTAGTGGGTCAGCCTGCGCCCTATGCAAGGCTGAAGTTCATGTCGAACATGATGTTCCAGGTTGTAGAAGTCACAGTCCGTGGCCTCTGGGGCCTCGAGCAGCTCAGAGAAACATGACAGCGGTCCTAGTTGTGATGTTCGCTCTCAATGGTGATCTGTACGGCCTAAACATACTGCTGACAGTGCCGCCTGGAAGTGTCGGGTCGTCTCTTGTTTTTGCAGCTCAGTGCCCTCGGAGCCTTATGCAGCTCAGCACCCAGGTTTAATCTCGGCTTCATCATCGCGGCGCTGCCACAAAAGGTCGCGACCTCGGGCGTCGGAGCACTGGAAGGCTCGTTGTCTCTCGTGGCTCTTCGTTTTGGACCTATGTGGGAACTGCCAACCCCGGACCTGTCAGAACGCCGAGTCCCCAATTCCCAGGGCCAGGCTGGAAACGAACCAGGCGCGGCGGAGACAAGGGCTTAGGGCGGATTTCGGGGGTTATGAATTTCTTTTGGAGAGTTTCGCTCAAGTTGCGTGAGTGTGGGGAGCTTGAAAGTGCCGGGGTCCGGTGACGACGGAGGTGTGGGTTCGGGCTTGGGAGGGCCCGATTTTGGAGTTCAAATCAGCCCTCAGCCCCAAACCCTAAACCCCGAACCCTAAACCGGGTTGAAGTAGCCCCTCTCAGGAGGTCTGGAAAGTGACGTCACGAGTTCCCGATGTTGGGGGTGGAGAGGCGGCCTCCAGTTGTTTATCGTGGATCAGCACGCCTCCGACGAGAAGTTCCGCTTTGAGGCCCACACCCCCCCGCCCTTTACAAGGATGGCTGTTCGGCCTTATAAACCCTATAAAGGGCCGTTTCAAGGGGTGATACTGGTCGGGTAGAATAGCCCATGCTGGTAGGACAGAGGACCCAAACACCCGGGGAAACTGACCCAAGCCTTGCCCCGAATAGGAATCTGACTTCTTCGCGTGTCATGCCGGTATCCTGGAAGCCCTTCGATCGCTGAACCGTCACAGCTCCTGCTGCTTGACTGTGCCTGCCAAGCTACTGAAGGAGCCCCGGAAGCCGTTGAGCATCAGGGGTTGGGATTTTTTCCCTGATACTGTCAGTCCTAATCGGGATTATAGTAGGCAGTACTATACTCCCTATGAAGGACTGTTGGTATAGGGGGGGGAACATTCCGAATCAGGGGTCTCCGCCATGTCCCAGGCGCTGAACCGGGAGACCCGCCTGGATCGCCAGCCTTTGGTGACGCCCCACCCGCTGCAGCTGACCCCGGCCCAGGCGCCGGCTCTTCTTGATCAGGGGACTAGAGGAGGGACCCTTGCAAGGGACTTGGGGGTTACTTAGGTAGGGACGATGGTCTCTTTTTGAGAGATTCTTTGTTTCATCCCCCGTGGTCTTGGGGTACTTAAATCGCACAGCCTCCAGAAAGTGGCGTGCCAAGGGCAAGCGGAGGGATGGAGCTCGACACCTGGGGTCGGGATAAATACAAATTGTATTCCTTCAGGGCCCCTTTGTACTTATACTCTAACAAACCCCAAGACCCTGTTCTAATTATTCAGGACACCTGTGTTTTGCTTCAGTGGCCCTCCATTCGGCAGGAGCAGCTTGCCGAGGCGCACGCTGAGGTGCTCCGATATCTTATGAAGCCATGGTGGTTTAGAGCGCTTTTTGGGAGGGGTTGGAGCTTTTTGAGGTTTTGAGAGGCCTCGTGGGCCTCCTCTTCGCAGCGACTGAACCTTCGGGCCTTGGGCACCCGAGACGCGGGTCGCTTGCCCAGGTCTTCCGCATGAATGGCTTCGAGCTGAAGAAGGATGAGGCTTCGTTTTGTTGCTTGCTCTTCGGTTGTGGGATGTTTTGTATGAGAAGGCAGTAGAGTCATCAACGAGGAGAAGCCCCTCTAAATTCCGCATGTCCATTCGGGTCCATCTTCCATGGAGTTTGGGACCGACACTTGGGGAGCCCGGTGGCAGTGGTTGGTGATGCTCTTGCCTAGGCCACCAGGCTTCAGGCAACCTCAAGCTCTAAACCCCAAAACCCAAAACCCCTAAACCCCCAAACCCCCAAACTCCGCTCGATCATCGGCTGCCCCTCGTAGCCATCCCACCTGGGCTCAACGCGCTTCGATTAGCTGCGAGCCTTCGCGCCTCCTTTCTGCTGCACTGGCCTCAGCGTCACCTGGGTTTTCTATTGAAGTTGCCAAACCCTTCCCAACCGGGCGCTTGAAATGAACGCCAGTAGACTACAGTTTTGGTGCCTTTGGGCAACGGAGGTTTAAGGCAAGCCTTGGGATGTTCACCCTTATACTACCAGTCCTTAATAGGGACTATAGTACCCCACTGTTAGTACAAGGAAAAACATCCCAAGGCAAACCCTAAACCCTAAACCACAAACCCTAAACCCTAAACACCAAGCCCCACAGCCTGAAACCCTCTCAAGGCCCCGTGAAGACCCTTCTCTGCTCAGATCGCATCATGGCTGTGGACATGCAGCTGGTCATAGCCTCGGCTTCGTGGTGCTGTTGAGGGCTTGAGGTTTTGGGTTTGGGGTTTGGGTTTGGGGTTTGGAGTTTGGGGTTTGGGGTTTGGGGTTTGGGGTTGAGGGTTTGTGGTTTGGGGTTTGGGGTTTTGGGTTTGGGGTGTAGGGTTTTGGGCAGTCCCAGGCTCAGATGGAAACCCCCTAAGCCCTTGCGCCGGCAGCCCCACAGGGCAGGGCGCGAGCCCGAGAAGAAATCCCCTAACCCCAAGCAACCCCGACACCGAAAGCGCTTCAAGCCGCACCCTAAGCCCTCTACTCCTGGGGCCTCAAGCCTAAACCCTAACCCAAACACCCCCAGACCCTAAAGCCGAAACCGCAGCCCTGAACCCCCAACCCCGAACCCCTGAAGACCTGACCCTAAACCCTAAAGCCGAAACCGCAGCCCTGAACCCCCAACCCCAAACCCCTGAAGACCTGACCCTAAACCCTAAACCCTAAACCCCAAACCCTAAACCCTAAACCCTAAACCCCAAACCCCAAACCCTAAACCCTAAACCCTAAACCCTAAACCCTAAACCCTAAACCCTAAACCCTAAACCCTAAACCCTAAACCCTAAACCCTAAACCCTAAACCCAGACTCAGGATGGGGGCATCTCCCAAGCCCCTCAGCCGGAGCAGAAGAGGCCCCCCCCCCCCAAAGACTGCAAAGACTGGGCCTTAGGGTCTGTTTGAGTTGTTTAGGGAGTTTGGGTTTTGGGGTTGTTTCGGGTGGTTTGGGGTTTAGGTTCTTGGGTTGGGGGAGTTGAGGTTGCTGGGGTTGCATAGGGTTGTTTCGGGGTTAGGTTTTTGGTTTTCAGGGCAGGCTTAGGGTTGTTTAGGGTTGTTTTGGGTATGGGTCGGGGGCTTGAGTGTTGGGCTTGGTTCGGTCCCTTTGTTTCAAAAATCTTCCAACGGGGTTTGGGGCTTCTGGGAACTCGCATGTTCGGGAGTTTAGGATTTCCGGTTGAGGGCTGAGTCTAAATCAGTTCTTCCTAGGGCTCAGGGGTCCTAAGCCTGCCACCGCTGCGCTGCCTGAAGCGCCCTTGAGCCTTGCGTTCAACCCTATCTATAGGGCTTGGTTGAGGGTTTAGGGTTTAGGGTTCAGGGTACCTGTAGCCGCAAGGCGGCGCATCGATGTCGAAGCAGCCTGTGCCACAGAGGCACAGAAGGGGAGCGTTGGGTCCTTCGGCCGGGAGTTCTCTAAATTTGGGTTCTTCTTCTTTGGGGTCCCCGCTGCGTGTCGCAAGCCTCGACCTGGCGTGGCGTGCAGAGGCCTTTAAGGTTTTTGGGTTTTCCGGTCGGTCCACCCCCAAACACAAACAAGTTCGGGGGTCCGAAAAGCAGACTTGCACGTCCTGGTAGGTGAGAACTACCAAAGTAGGGTGTACAGGGCTGCAGGGATGGTTGAAGCGTCTAAGGTTTCTGGGGTTCAAGACTCAATCCTAAACTCCCTAAGCCCGAAAGTTGGGGCGGCCTCTGGGTTCCAGGCTGCTTCGCTTGTTGAAGCCGCACATGGGCGTGCCGATGCGCTGAAGGCCGGGGGAGGTGGACCCTGTCTGGGCCTTGTGGAGGTTGCGTGTTGCCTTCTCTCCGGTTTAGAGGGGGTCCTAAACCCTAAACCCTCAACCCTCAACCCTCAACCCTCAACCCCGAAACCCTTAACCCTAAACCCTTAACCCCAAAGCCTAAACCCTAAACGGGTTTAGGGGTTTGGGGCCCGCGTGGCAGCGTGCCAGGCGCAGCGGCACGAAGCAGACTCCAAAGGTTTGCGTGCGGCCACGCAGGTGCCATGGAAAGCCCACCTCCCTTTAGCTTCAGCGTGAGGGGGCTCGTGACCCCCAAGCCCAAAAACTCTAAACCTCAAGCCCAAAAACCCTAAACCCGAAATCCCCGAATGGCAGGAACTGCAGGAGCTCGCTGGGCAAGTGGCGCGCTTTGCGCTGCGCCTGGAGGCGGATGAGAGCAAGGTGGGGGTTGAGGGTGGATCGCGAAGTTCTTGGGTGCTCTTTGGGAGATTTTCTTGGGTGGTTCCGGGAGAGTAGGGGGGTTTTGGGGGAGCATTGGGGGAGAGAATTTGGGGAGTTGAGATTTCTATTTCCGTCTTGTTTCCTTCTTGCCTCAGAACGGCCCGATGAACCCAACAAGCGCCGCTCCTTAGGGCTTCGGGCATTCTGGGATACCCTAAACCCTAAACCCTAAACCCTAAACCCTAAACCCGAAACCCTACTAAACCAGAAACACCCTAAACCCATCCCAGAGTGGCCTTTGCCAGGCCCTGGCCTTCATCCACGAAGGCCCCACCGCGGATCCGGGCTGCCAGGCGCCGCAATGTGGTTTCCCTCAGAGACAAGTAGGGTTTAGGGTTTAGGGTTTAGGGGTATTTTTAGGGGTGTTTTTAGGGGTGTTTAGGGGTTGTCGGGGTATCGGGGGCTTTAGGGTGTTTCTTCGGGGTATTTTAGGGTTTTTTCGGGGTTTGAGGGATTTTAGGGGCAATGTTTTTGGGGGTGTTTTCACAGTTATTTTACGGGTGTTTTCGGTTTTTTTGGGGTTTTAGGGGTGAGGGGTTTTAGGGGGTTGTTGGAGGGGCTTAGGCTCCTGAGCCTCGCAGCTCGCGCTTTCAAAAGGATGCAGAGCTTCTGGCGGCGCTCCAGCACTTTGTGCAGCCGACTTGGTTCTCAGGGTTTCTGAGGGATTCTTGGGGGTTCTTGCAGAAAGTAGGATATACGCCCTTGGGTTCGGAAACTCGTAGCTTCGGATGCAGGGCAGATCGTGTTACCAAGTGGCCAAGTGCAGATCCGAAGCTCTGGAAGCCAGGCAGCGGCGCACGAGGCGTTGCGCCAGGAGGCCAAATCTTCCATGAGCTTTGGGATGTCCCCCCCTTATACTAATAGTCCTTCATAGGGATTGTAGTAGGGGGTACTAGAATCCCTACTAAGGTTACTCAGGACTGTCAGTATAAGGGGGCACATCTCAACATGAGCTTGTGTTCTATGAGTTCTTGGATTTCTCGTGTGTTTTGAGGAAAGCCGCGTGCAAGCGCTTGTGCAGCAGACGTCCAACACGGCAAAGAAGCTGCGTGTAGAGGAGCAGCAACTCGAATCCCTCACCATCGAGATGGCAGAGCTTGCTGAGACAAGGCACGCTCAAGAAGAGGAAGAACGAGCACGCCGCGAGGCGGAGGAGAGGGCTCGCAAGGAGGCCGAGGAACGGGCGCGCAAGGAAGCCGAGGAGCAGGCGCGCAAGGAAGCCGAGGAGCGTGCGCGCAAGGAAGCCGAGGAGCGGGCGCGCAAGGAAGCCGAGGAGCGGGCGCGCAAGGAAGCAGAGGAGACAGCTCGCAAGGAAGCCGAGGAGACGGCGCGCAAGGAAGCCGAGGAGAGCGCGCGCAAGGAAGCAGAGGAGACAGCTCGCAAGGAAGCCGAGGAGAGCGCGCGCAAGGAAGCAGAGGAGACGTCGTGCAAGGAAGTTGCGGAGACGGCTCGCAAGGAAGCCAAGGAAGAGGCGTGGCAAAAAACGCAAGAGAAGGCTGACAAGGAAGCGGAGGAGAAGAAAGCTCACTTGGAAATGTCCGAAGAGGCAGGGCCCAAGCCCAAGACAGAGAAGGCAGGACCTGTGAAGGCCGGGGGCTCAGGATGTTCCCATATCCTCACCCTGTACATGGACACTTCTCCCTATATCCCCCTTGGGACTTATTTTTTTAGAATTTTTGTTTATATAAAAACCCAAGAGGATATTAACAAAAATATTTTTTTATTAAGGTTCTAAGGGGAGTATAGCTCCCAGCTGGCTTCAAACGAGGAACCCCATAGATCACTTAAACCGCCCGAGGCGCAGCCAGCCAAGAAGCTCATCGTTCAAGCGGAAGCTTGTTCGGTTGCAACTGGTCGACAAGATTGATTATCTCAGAGGTCTTACAGGTAAGTCTGGGTGTATGGGAGTCTAGGTACTTTTGGGGTTTACTAGGGTGTTAACGATTTTTTTGGTTCATGAGGTCCTGAATTTTCTGGTGGCAGGCCCCTTCACCAGATCCTGGAAAAACACCCGACAGTTGATCCGGATCTGAATGGGGTTCTGAGCATTAGTTCGGGGAATAGGGTTTACCGTGCAGGTTTTTTGGGTTACCCTAACCCCTAAACCCGAAACCCTAAACCGCAAACCCTAAACCCTTAGGGCCGTTTAGGTCTGTAGAGTCAGGCGACGGGCGAGTACACCCTCATGGACCGTCTGGGCCTCAGCAGCTGGGCTTGGCCCACGAAAACCCGGGTTGCTCCTAAACCCCGAACCCTGAACCCCAAACCCTAAACCCCAAACCCCAAACCCCAAACCCTAAACCCCAAACCCTGAACCCTAAACCCTGAACCCTAAACCCTTTCGGGGGCTTCTGGGGGTTTTGAGCGGTTCTCAGGGGTTGGGGGGTTGCAACCTGCAAAGCAATGCCAGGCTCCACCTTGGTCCTGTGTGGGTTTAGGCTTGCGAGGTATGAGATGGGACAGATGATGTTGGGGGGTTTAGGGTTTAGGGTTGAGGGTTTAGGGCTCAGTGCTTGAGGGTTTGGGTATGTGTGGGCTACCGCGGTGCGAGGCCAGTGCCATGACCACGAGGCCTACAAGAAGGCCAATGCCACCTTCCTCAGCTTGTGTGAGCGTTCCTGCAGCGTTCCTTATGATGTCAGAGCTCCAGTGCTCAAGCAGGCTTGGTAGCCCAGTGGTACGCTTTCACCTCTTCTTTGGTTACCCTAACCCCTAACCTTTAACCCCTAACCCCTAACCCCTAACCGCTAACCCCTAACCCCTAACCCCTAAACCCTAAACCCTAAACCCTAAACCCTGTACGAAGCAACCAAGAAGGGCGTTGCTCAGGATCCTGTGGAAGTCTGTGCGTATGCGAGGATGCCCTTGTAGGGTTAAGGGTTTAGGGTTTAGGGATTAGGGCTTAGGCCCTCAACAGCCTTCGCAGCCGCGTTGCCCAGGCCAACGTTTTCCTGATTTGGACTCCGCGCGATGCTTCGACCTGAGTGTAGAGTCGTGAGCGTTTCTGCTTTTTGGGGGCGTGCCCGTTCTTGTTCTTGGGGCTCAAACGTTCAACATGTGTGGCAACCTCCTTGATCTAGTATAGCTGTTGCTTCCTTCTTGTATCCTTAGCTTATGCCTTTGCAGGTCACACAGGTGAGAATCTTGCCTGAAGCCCCGATATTTCCCCTCGATGTCCAGGCTGGGCATTGGGTGATCACTGCGGATCCGGAGACTGAAGATGTGCTCGTGCGAAGCCTGCAGGTGGTCTGGGAGGGGATGGAGGGAGTGAGAGAGAGAAGGCGAGAGCATGGAACAGGGCTTTGGCGTTTCCGGTTTCGGCGTGGAGATGCAACGTGCGCAGCTCTGAGGGCTGGGATCCAGGTTCGGTATTCGCAACTTCACAAGGCGGTTCCAGTCTTGTCTGCAGAGATGGCACCGGAAGATTTTAGGGCCCGTGGGTGCAAGCTTCAGTGCCTGCCTCAGCCCCAACCTCTCAAGGCCTTAAGCCCCTTGATCTTGTTTAAGCCCACCGGATGTCAAAGCCAGGTTACTCGAACTGGCCCTCCGCACAACCTCATGAGCAAAAGCTGGACCACGGCGCGAGACCCAGGGGTGAGGGTTCAGGGCCTCTAGCTTTCTACAAGCTTCGCCCCAAACTGTCAATCCCAAGACCCAAAAGCTCTCCCGAAGGGTCGCGATTTCCTGTGGGGCTGGAGGCTTCGCGTTGTGCACTTGCAGATTTTTTACAGGAGTTTCGGGGCTGTTGAGCCGCAACCCCCCTGAACCCGACCGTAAGGCCTTAAACGCTAAATCCTAAATCCCAAACCTAAACACCTCAACCCTGAAGCAAAAAGACTCCAGCACGCCACGCTGCACTTCAAGCCCAGACTGAGGCTTCATGGGGCTCGCGCGGCCGGGTCGCGCCTGCCCTCTGTCACCATTCCGGGGGTATCGTGATGCGTCGGGTTTTAGAAAAACTTGTCATTGTCGTTTGTTTGCAATTCTTAGTAGTATGAGAATGACCTACTATTTTCAGTGTTCTTATGGATGTATTGTGTCAATTTATGTTACATATTGTGTATATATATACACACCTTCGTATATATATGTATATATATATATACACACACACACACACACACACACACGTGGCGTTTTTTTGGGTGGGTGGGGGGAGGGAGGTCTGTGAGCCCACAACCTGAAACCCGATGCGAGGTTCTCATCGTCAAGAGCGCCTAAGCACGAGTCGCTGAGTGCCGCGAGATGCCATTGGGAACGACGCATTGACTCCCTCAGACTGCCCCCGAAGTACCTCCAGCTTCGGGATTTCTTCTGGGACTCTGTATAACAACCCGAAATCTGAAGACCTGTTGGGGTCGAAGGTACCGTCCAGATGAGTCAGTTGCAAGTAGTAGTTACCATTTGATAGCTAGCGCAAAGCGCTGGGTCTGAGAGACGACTACGTGAGGATGTAGCAGGACCGGTATTCCCTGCAGGGCTTTGCCCTGCTTTGCCCTAGGTATCACTGCAGAAGGCTAGATGATGACCGTGCCTTGGATCTACTCCCTCCTCTTAACGATGGCTGTTCGTTGGTCCTGTCAGGAGGTCGCGCGCTGCTGTTTCCGAGTCTCGCCAGCCATAACGTGCTGGCTCAAGGGTTCGATACTCGACAGGGGGCCCGGGTTCCCTAAACCCTCAACCCTAAACGCTAAACCCCAAACCCCAAACCCGAAACCCTAAGCCCTAAACCCTAAACCCTAAACCTAAGGGGGCCCGGGTTCCCCTGAGTATCGAAGCAGCGTGCGAGTCTCCCGCCCTCCCTCTCGTATCTCAGAATCCCCAGCGCACCGATCTCAACGATGCCAAGGTGCATGACTGAAAAAAGAGCTTCTCTAAACCCTGAACCTTTGCACCCGAAGCCCCAAACCCCAAACCCCAAACCCCAAACCCCAAACCCTAAACCCTAAACCCTAAACCCTAAACCCTAAACCCTAAACCCTAAACCCTAAACCCTAAACCCTAACCCTAAACCCTAAGCCCTAAGCCCTAAGCCCTAAGCCCTAAGCCCTAAGCCCTAAGCCCTAAACCCTAAGCCCTAAGCCCTAAGCCCTAAGCCCTAAGCCCTAAGCCCTAAGCCCTAAGCCCTAAACCCTAAGCCCTACTTGTCTCTGACTTGTCTGAGAAGAAAGGTGATAACGAACTCCCATAAGCCTAAGCCCCCAACCCTCTATCCCAGTTTTCCACGACCTTTGCAAAGTCCAGAGGCCCAGCCACCCGGGCGACGGCTCCGAGCCACTGCCCTGCCCAGCTGTCGGCACCTCGGAAATGCTCTGTTCCTGTCATTGCGTGCGATCAGCTTTGATCCACACCAATCCTTAAGCCTTAAAACCCGAACCGAGGCAAGCATCTACCAGCATTATCCCCATGTTGCCTGTGCATTGGTTGAGTAGAAGCTGCCACGTGCATTGACCGATGCTTCCACGCACGGATCCGGATCACCTAGCTCCGGCTGCATGAGCACCACGCCTCCAAAGCACAACGACAAAATGCAAGCTAAATGGCACTTTCGTTCTTGTGCTGTTTAGTGATGGCACCTTGAAAGGGAGGCCTATGAGTTCATGCTGAGGTCAAGGCTTGGTGTTCAATGACAAGGACATTCACGATCTCTTGCGCCCTCTTGCCTGTGCTAACGCGAGAATCCCCGCAAAGGGCACCCCCGAATCTTGGGAAACTCCGACGACAGCGCCTCTTTCTATATAGGGATTCTGGCGCTTGGGCTCCAGGTACAAGCTGGAAGAGGCGGAGGTATCCCAGAACGTGACGCAGTCTGGTGAAGGAGGCAGCAGGAAACTAGAACTCAAGATGAGAGGACAGTTCATGTTCTATCGTGCCTGAAATGGCCCTCTACCTACCCAGAATCAAAAGGGGCATCACCTGGCCTCTTTAAAGATGACCAAAGGGGAACAAAGACCCTCGACCCCTAAACCAGAAAACCCTCAACCCTAAACCCTAAACCCCACACCCTGCACCCTGCACCCTAAACCCTAAACCCTAAACCCTAAACCCTAAACCCTAAACCCTAAACCCTAAACCTTAAGAAGCCAGGGCTCCTCGACTTGGCCGGACACCGCGCGCTCTGGAGCGCCACGGCGGCCCCGAGGCCGCAGAAGGCCGCCGCTTTGCGTGGTGTCAGGGGGTTTCAGGGTTTGGGGTTTAGCGTTTGGGGTTCAGGGTTTAGAGGGTAGAGGGTAGAGGGTTTAGGGTTTAGGGTTTAGGGTTGAGGGTTGAGGGTTGAGGGTTTAGGGTTTATTTGCTGCTGCTGCTGCTCCTACTAGTACTAGTACTAGTAGTACTAGAGTACTAGTACTACAGCTACTACAGTACCACCATTGGTACTGCTGCTACTGCTGCTGCTACTGCTGCTACTGCTTCACTAGTCGTAGTCATGGTCATCATACCAGTAGCAGCTGTGAAGAATCACAATGATACGCATAACCATCGTCAAGATCATGATCATGCTTGTTGCTGGCCAGGGGCTTGTAAGGTTGTACGGGCTGCGGACTGCAGGGCTTCGGGTGGTTGCTGGGTAGTGTTGGGGTTCGGGTTGAGTAGTTTAGCGCTGAGTAGCTTTGGGCTTCAGGGCTGTGAAGAGTTTAGACTTTCTCGAGCGTTCGCTCTGCACACGTTGCAAGCGACATTCCTGAAGAGACACAGTGTTCGGGGGGGGTTGGGCTTTTGGGTGGTTGCATTACTACGCACTCAGCGCGGAATGCTTTGTCTCAGAACCTCCGAAGAAGGCCCCAAACCCTAAAGCCTAAACCCTAAACCCGGAACCCTGAACCCCAAACACCAACCGACTTGTTCTTTTCTGCGCCGGGCGGAGATCAAGCCGGGGGGCTCCTTTCGGGCAGCAGAGCGCAGATGGAGTGAGCCGCGAAGGAGGGTGGCAGGCGCGCCTGAATGCATGAAGATTGCCTTTTTGAGTGGTGAGGGGTATATAAGGGGGTATGGGGGGTATGTAAGGGGGTATATAAGGGGTATGTAAGGGGGTATACCCTGTTAAGGACCCATATTAGGGGACCATGAAACTACCCCAAGACGTTCGGGGGGTTTGCTGCTGTGGGTTCTGATTGAAGGCACACGTGCTCAGGTGATTGGCATCTAAGTGTTGTGTTGTTGCCTTTCGTGCGTGCCTGAACCATAAAGGCCCTAAAAGCCCGAAACCCGAGCCAGGGCGCCTTGGTGTCGGATGAGTGGAGCCCCCAAGAAGTTCAAGGCGCAAGACCAGGGAGTTTACGGTTTAGGGTTGGGCACAAACACCAGACGAAGCTTTTCCAAGATGGAGAGTTTAGGCTTTTCAGGTCTGCAGGCTTCGAGTGTAGAGTCTGGGCTTGCCTTTGCTACTTGCAGGCGGATTTGAAGCTTGGGATACCGAGAGTTGCTGTGGAATCTGTGAAGTGTTGTAGACACAACCCCAATCCTCCTCAAATCGACCGCTGCCTTCTGGAGAGTCCTAGAATGCAGCCGCAGGCCCAACCCGAAACCCTTAACAGCCCTTGAAACCTGGAGCAATTCAACCCCCGAGGCTTAAAGCCCCAAGCCCCCAAGCAGGGGATCGGGAGGAGAGGAGGGAGAGGGCGAGAGAGAGCCACTGTCCCCGACAGACCTGCTGCCACTCGGGGGCGGCCACTTCGGTGGCCACGCGTGCTGGAAGGAAGGAAGGAAGGCAGGAAGGAAGGGGGCCACTCTGGAAGGAAGGAAGTCACCAAAGAAAAGAGCCAAACTTGGGACAAGGGAGGTGGGACGCTCTGTTGAAGGTTTCTGAGTGGGGTTGAGAGTTTGGGGGAGGGGTCGGGGGTAGCCAGGGTGCTTTCGACTCCGATCCTGTAGGCCCCACTATGGAGAGCAGGCGGGGTCACAATGTGCGGGAAAGGAGTTCTGCATGATTGGGGCCCTCGTGCTCCATGCTTGGCATCTCGGGCACCTTTCAGGTGAGGGCGCCATGGAGGGACGGCCCCCAAGCTGACTCAAGCCCCAAGGAAAGACAAAAGTGGCACAGGGAGAGCGCGCATTGCAGGTGGTCGTACTTGGTGATGAGGCAGCCGGCCTGCTCCTCAAAGGGCCAAAAGTCATTCTGCGGTTTTTGGGAAGTTTGTGCTTAGGCTGAGGATGCGAAGGTGCGTAGAAGAGGAGGTTCGTTAGGAGAAGGCCCTGGTATAGGTCTGCCTTGTCTGGCCCCAAGTCTCCGATGCCTTCTGTTTAAGCCTTGAAGCCCTGAATCCTCGTCAAGCCCGTAGCCTTCATAAGCCCCAAAGCCCTAAACCCTAAACCCTAAACCCTAAACCCTAAACCCTAAACCCTAAACCCTAGACCCTAAACCCTAAACCCTACACCCAAGCTCATTTCGGGGATCTTCCCGACCACGCTCAGGCAAAACATCGCTGGTCCGCAGATACATGTACGGCACTTTTGAGGAGGGCGTGCAGCCCACCGTAGGCGCGGTTGAGGGTTTAGGGTTTGGGGTTGAGGTTTTGGGGTTTAGGGTTTAGGGATAAGGGTTTAGGGTTAGGGTTTAGGGTTCAGGGTTTAGGGTTTAGGGTTTAGGGTTCAGGATTTAGGGTTCAGAGTTGGGTTTAGGGTTTGTTCGAAGAAGTCCCATGGGGCAGGCATGGATTTCCAGAGCAAGACGGCGTACCTCGAGGACGACTGGCGCTTAGCTGATGTTTGTCGGTGTCTTGCGCCAAGCCATGAGAGCTGTCCCCCCTCCAACTCCTACCCCCACAGCATAAACCCCAAACCCCAAACCCTGACAAAAACCCTACAACCCCTACAAGACCTATTGACCTTGTCTTCAAACCCAATACTCCTCGTAATCCTTGTAGTCCCAGCGCTGCAAACCTTACCAGCCCTTGAGATCCTGTTGTCAACCCGGCAGCCCCACGTTAGAGGAGCCCCTGAACTGAACCCTACACCCTAAACCCTAAACCCTTACCCGAAACCCTCCGCTCCGACTCCGTGTGCGCCCAGGGGAGGTCGATGCGCCTTCAGCTGTGGGACACGGCTGGTCAGGAGCGAGTTGAGGGAACATCCAGGTGTTGAAGTCGCCACATGTGAGGGGAGACGCCTGCCACGCGCTTTTTGTTTTGCTTGTGGAATTGGGTTTTGCGGAATTTCGAAATAAGTTCATGTTGACAGGAGCGATTCCGAAGCTTGATCCCTAGCTACATCCGGGATGCCGCGGCCGCGGTGATCGTCTACGACATCACGAGACAGTCATCCTTTCAGGGAACAAGGCCGGGCTGGCGACATGAAGCTTTTGGGCTCCAGGCCCTTCAGATCCCTGTGAGACACACTGCATGCGAAACGTGTTCTAGGGGTTTTCCCAAATTAGGGGTACCTTCTTGGGGTCCTTCTGGTAAGGGAATCTTCCGTAAACCCCCATATACGGCCGCAGGGATAGTGAACTGGAAGGCTTCTGTCTGCCTGCAAGTCACCGATGTTCCCTGTTCGCGCAAAGCTCTCCAACACTCACAACCCTAGCATTCTCCGTGCCCTGCAGGGCCTGGATCTCTGACGTCCGGGCCGAGAGAGGCAAGTTTGAGTGCTTGGTGGTTTGTTGCCTATTTGTTGCCGCTTGAGGTTCCGATCGTGCTGGTGCTTGGGGGGCTATTGGAGAAGGGGTTCTTGAGGTGACGAGGCGGTCCTGGCAATGGTCGGAAACAAGCTGGATCTAGCCGACGAGCGCCAGGCCCGGCTTTGTTCAAGACTCGAGAGGTTACATTCATCGTGTCTCTTCAAGCTGAGAGCTGCTGAGTGCTAACAAGCAGGAGGTCCGGTCAAGAGGAGGCCTAATGAGGCTGAACGAAGCTTGGCAGGTCTCCGAGGAGGAGGGTCGCGAGCTTGCCAAGGATCCTGGTAGTGTGGGGTGGCTTTTTGGCCAAGGTGAGCAGGAATCTGATCAGCCGAGTACCTAAAAGCGCTGCGACAGCAATATCGCATGCTACTATGTCAGTGCAAGACGCCATAAAATTGACATCTAGCTACCCAACACGCTGAAAGCCTAAGCCCCTGCATGCTTCTTTCCAGGAGCTTGGCGTGCTGTTCATGGAGACAAGTGCCAAGAGAGGACCCCGGTTTGCAAGATGCTGTGGAGGGTTTGGGAGTTGGGGTTAGGGTTTAGGGTTGAGGGTTTTTAGGCTCGTTGGGCATTTAGGGAGTTGGGGGTTGGTCTTCGGGGGGCAGTCTTTTGCACAGCCAAGTCGTGTCATGGATCAGGAGAGAATGTCAACACCCTGTTCCAGTCGCGCGCTCAGTCTGGTTGCACAGCTGTGAACTCACACGCAAACAGCTTGCAATTCACGAAGGCTTGTGTTTGCTGCCGCTTGGCTTTAAGTGCACCGACTTTGAAGAGGGTAGCTGCGCTTCTGAGGCAAGTGGCAGCTGCACTCCCTTCTGAGCGGCCTGGCCCTTCCCCAGCCACGCGGCTTCATACGAAGGGAACCTTCGAGTGTCAGACACGATTTCTAGACCCTCCAAGCCCAATGCGTTCTGCGCCACCGAAACCCTGAGTCCTAGACCCTGAGCCCTAAACCCTATCGTCCGTAAAGCATCCCCAAGCAGTCCCTAAGCCCCTTCCAGGAGCGGCCCAAGGCCAGCGAGACTGGATTCCAGCTCAGAAGTCAGGACAGTGGTCTTACTGGCTGGCCCTTAGGAGGGAATGAGGAATGAGGTACCCTATATAGTCCCTTCAGGGGTCTGTGTATGTGTACATTTTGTATATAGGGCACTAATTCCTTCATGTTCTAGTAAGAACCAGGGACAAAGGGTTTGGGGTTCTCAGGCTTCAGCTAGCTTGGCATAGGGTGCCGGGGCTCAGGTGTTGCGAAGGAGTGTGGGGGGGCATCCGATTGATCTAGGGCTTTGGGGGTTGGGGAGCCAGAGCTTTTAGGGAAGTAGGGTTTAAGGGTTTGGCCCCGCTTAGGGGTGGCTTTGGATCTCTTCCAGGGTTGCTTAAGCTTCGCTTGTTTGTGCTTTCCCTCGATTGAAGAGGTAAAAGGAGGGACCGCTCGAAGGGACCCTTAATCTTATTCCCCTAAAGAATTCCTATATAAGCCCTATGAAAACCGTATATAGTCCCTACATACCTACCGGGGACATGCAGAACCCGCTGACAGACCAGTCCCCTTTGATGAAAGATGCAGTGCCCTAGCCAGCCAAAGGAGCATCGAACTGACGTCGGAGAGAAGAAGAAGAAGCAATGCAAATGCTGAGTGACGCACCCTGCTGATTGGGGCGCTTACCCAGATCCAAAGAGCTCCAAGCAGTCCTATGTCACCCGATCCTGACCCTGAAGCCCGACATTGGCTGTAGGAGGTTGCGGGCGCACCTAGTAAGTGGATGTGGAGTTGGTGTTGGACACGAGACCCTTAGCCGTTTCCGGAGCATTGCCGGCATGGTTTTTTTTTCTGCAAGGTGCAGTCTGGCGGGTGACTCTCAACGCATTGGGGGTTCCTCGAATTTGGGTCCTGAGCCTTCGTAGCCTTCTGAAGTGGAGCCCTTTGGCACAGGGTTTAGCCGACTGAAGACCCCTTCAGCAGCTGCTGGGGGGAAGTTGTCAGTGTCCCTGCCTCCACTCCTATGAGCAGCAACCCGACTACTCGGACGATGGCTTTTGCCACCTTCTTTACAGCTCTCCAAAAAATCACTACTTATGTTATGGTTGCAGCTGCGACAGGCATTTGCATTTGCACTCGCACTGGTCCTAGAGGTACTACTCTTGCTAACCTCGGCCACTACCTCTACCACAGCTACGGCGCATGCATCGTTGCTGAAAAGAAGCTGGGATACGTGCAGGCCATCCCCTGGCTGTCTCACCAGCAGCCAGCCATCGTTTGTCGAGGGGCCCTGCAGTGACTTAGTGTACGCACCCCCAGTTGAGCATTCGCATGGAATTCAGCCCAGAGCTGCATGAAGTGTGAAGGCCAAGTCATGGGCCAGGGCAGTACCAGAGCTGTCAGTATGGTCGTAGTTGCGGTGCCGCCAGTCGAGGCTTACGGAGCACGATCAGTGAAAGTCAGGTCTCACGAAGGTGCATGCATGCGGTTGCCCCGCGCAAAAGGGCCGCGCCATTTCCCCCGCCCAGGATGCTGTTGCCCTGTGTTCCTCGGAGTCCTGTGTCTGAAATGGGGTTCCACAGTTTAGACTCGCATCGACAACTCGGGAAACTCAGTTGGGGTCATGTTGTAAAAGCTCCTCGGCATTCGGAAGGGTGCGAAGGGGCTTCCGGGCATTCGGACAAGCAACTTGTGGAACTTTGGTTCAGAGTGCTGTCTTGTGCATCCAAGTTCGTCTGGAATGCCCAAGTGCCATGGAGTCGGTCAGACGCATTGGCAACGGCAGCAACGCCCCAAAGGCAAGGAACATCTTCAAGTTTCTGGATGTAACCCGAAACCCTAAACCCTAAGCCCGAAGCCCTAAGCCCTAAAATAGAGCTTGCAGGAGTCTGCATCTGGTGGCCTCTATGCAACAGGACCCCACTTCGCGTCATGGACAAGCTCTGGAAGAAAGCAGCGACCAGCATCCAAGTCTGGTAAGAAGACCACAGCATATTCGCGTGCGACATCCAGCCCTCGCAAGCCAAGGTGCTTTGTTCGAAAGTTTGCTGGACCGAGAACACATGGGCCATTGCCTCATCGCAGATTCGTCGGTTTGGGTGCCCGGCGGGCTTCCCCTGCAAGGATCTCCCTAAGCTTGGAGAGGAAGAAGGAAGAACGTCTCTCTGAGTTGCCATTCAGGAACTTGCATGTAAGCTACCAGATCACGAACTATCAATCTGTCCACCTTATGGGGTTCCTCGCATCTCTGGCTTACCCGAAGACCAGCATCCTCTCACGCCGTTGGCCGGGTGTGGGGCAGCGCAGACGTTGGGCGTGACAGTGGTCTTGCCACCTTGTGGGCCATCACGTTTAGCTCAGAACAATGGTCGACTAACGGCGCCTCTATGTCGGCAGTCCGGCGCCTGCTGCGTTGTAGGGAAGGCCCTTTCAACAGCCGCTGCTGTTTGGAAGGGCCGCATGCGGACATAGCGTGGTGAATAATAATTATCAGGCAGCATGAGCCAGCAACTTTCGTTCTGGAGAATGTGGTGGGCTTAAGTCATAGGAAGAATGGAGAGACCATACCCATTTCCACGGTGATGGACATCTTGCGCGATCTTTCTTACTATGAAGTCCGTTATGGCAGGTCAATTCACTGGACCGCCATTTGCCTCAACATCGCCCACGCATCTACATGGTCTGCACCCATATCGGGCACCACCTTACATCTTCCTCTGAGCCAGTGACGCCAACATGTGCGCAGAATGGAAGTGCAGCTGGCGTCTGTAGCGCACGATTGTCATGCGGTCGGACTCCGAGGAGGACGTTTCTTCACAAAGGCAGCTCCGCGAACGTTCACGCAACGCTCATCGCGAGGAACCTCGTGGACTCCCTTGCATTTCTCCCCAAGGGCATCGGCTGGTCGCGATATCTCAGCCTGCATTCACAGGATACTCCAGGACTTTATGCGGGCCGTATTTCGAGGGGCCGGCGGAGATACAAAAGATCGAATGAGATCATGCACGGAGATTTCCGGGAGCGCTGGGTATGGTGCAGGCCGATGGAGGTTGAGCCCTTGTCTCACTCCGAGAAGCCGGATTTGGGTCTTCAGGTGCAAGAGGTGGCTGCTGGATCGGGAGACTTGGCTGCCCAGTGGATTAAACCTTGCTGTAGTTTGTGCTGCGTTCTTTTTGCGCCAAGTCACATGTGTAAACCGGCTAGCTGCAAGAGGATGTGGTCCAACCCCTGCTGCTGATTGTGGTGTTGTGGCTGTGGTTGTCGGAGTTGCTGTTGTTGTGGTAGCAGTGGTTGTGGCAGTGGTTGTTGTGGTTGTTTTGGTTTGAGCAGCTCCTAAGCAATCTTCAATCCTGAGGGGGTTTGCGGATTTCGCGCTTGCAGATTATTGCTGCATAAGTCGGCAGGTATTCTGGTGGTAGTGTCTTTTCGTGCCCTACGAGTCAACAGCGTACCAAAACAGCTACTGCGGCTGCGTCGGATTGCGATATCAGGATATGTCACGACCATCTGGGTCCGGTTTAGGAATGCTCAAGATGTGTGGGGTGGGAGGTGGGGGGCGTTTGTAGGGATTTTTGAGAGACTTCAGCGAACAGGCAGGCAAATCTGCGGCAATGTTTCTACTGCGGAGAAAAGTAATTGATGGTATTTGCAGCAACACTGCTACTGAGCGCCTTTTCGGCCATTAGGCCCCGCGCGGACATAGCAACGGATAGCGGATTGGAAGCGGATTCTGACATCGGATTATGGATTGGACAACATCAATCCGGCAACACTGATCCGGCTGATTAGTCGGATCACGGATTAGGAGGTTCCCTTGTTTCGCAAAGCCGGCTCGATTCTTGAGTTTCCGTGTTGCTCTTTTCCACTGGCACAAGTGGTCACAAATGTGAACCCCCAAAGATGCCCCTTACAGACCCTTACGCTGCTCCCAAGCCGGAAGAGGCAGAGAGTCTCCGACAGAAAACAGGGACGAGTCGGAGCCGAGGCTTGCAGGTCGCCTGGGGCTTCTTGCCGGAAACCCCCCATGTGCCCGTTGCGGGCCTCTTCTTGCACATGCTCGCCAACGTATCCTGCACAGCGCGGCCCGCTCGATATTGTCGTCACGTGAGAAGGCTGTTGCATCAAAGTGCCACAATCATGCTGACCCTCGTGCACACCTCACGGCTATTTCTTGAGACGGCTAGTCTCGGGCATAGTGTGGAAGGGTTTCACCCTCAGAGTCCCAGAGTCCCAGAGGACTGGACAACTCAGGCTTTGAGGGACCCAGGCAGTTGGTGTTCTCCGAATATCTGGCCTCGAAGGGCAGTTGCATGATTTTGCATGTATGTATATATGTAAATCACAGGTATCATGTCGTATCATATCATATCATATCATATCATATTATATTATATTATATTATATTATATTATATCAAATCATATCATATCATGTATATAAATTGGTTGCCCGTCTTTTGCTCGGACGACCGAGCCGGCAACTGCGAAGCCTACAGCCAGAATGCAAGGTGACAGGTCAGACAGTTCGAAGGCTGTTGGCTGGAATGTTCCTTGATTGATTCCTGTATAGATTCTTCTCCGAGCTCGTGACGCTGGCCGAGCTATCGCGAGCATGCGTGTGATTCACACCCAACCTGTTGGCATGTTTAGTTCTCGTCTCACATTGCTTCAGCAAGGGTTCTCGAAAAGACAAGCTCGCCCGGGCCGCTGTCAGCAGGGTCCGCTACCGCATGCTGCAACGGCTCATGTCGATGCCCTTGTTGGCATGCTCCAGGTGTGGATGCTGTTGGCGTCCCGGGCCTGCCGCTACGCGACCATGATCGGGAAGGCCTGATTTCTTGGACCTGACGACATGTTGACCTTTCTGCGCGGCACTGACTCTGCGCAGCTTGCAGGACGCAACAAATTTTCACCAGCACTAGGCAAGATCATGCCCAAGCTTCAGAATCCCAGTATGTCAGGTCCCTCCTTCTTCCAAAGTCGTGACAAGGTGCAAGAACCAGCAGCCATTCCCTGCTTGACGTGAGAGCGATGGCGGCACGGATGCACCGCCTTCTGTCGGCAGTGGCCAGTCTGGATGGATCTCATGTCAGACGGTCCCGGCGCTTCCTGCTGCTGCTGGTGGGGGTGATTGGCCAGCTGTCTATTCAGGAAGATCTTGTGGGAAATTGCTTCACAGGAGCCACAGGCTCTCGCCCTCGAAGGGCCTGCGACTCCACCGTGCTCGCTGCCTCGCGACGAGATGTTCTTCTGGGCACGGGCGCCGGCCTCGCCACCGACACGAAGCCCGTCTGTGAGGTGCCCATGCGGCGCCTAAGTCGGGTGCAGGGCCAAGTCGGGGGCCAGTTTGTGAGCATCGGCGCTGTGATCCAGGGCGAGTCGGTGGAGCTGATGCTGGATAGCGGCCTCAGCGAAGCGCTGGTGACTCCCGACCTCGCGAGACGCTTGCGCCTGCGCTCCTTGGGATCGGCGCAGGGCGAGGCCGCGGGCGGAGCGGAGACCGTTCAACTCGTTGAGGTTACCGATGTAAGTCTCGCCTGTGGCGAGAAGCTGCCGCCGCTAAAAGCTGCGGTGACAAGCTTTCCGCAAGAGGCGGTGGACACGAACGTGCCGCTGAGCGGCATGTTAGGCTTCCAGGCCTTCCAAGGCTACGATGCGGAGTTCGACTTTTCCGCTGGAAAGCTTCGGCTTTGGCGCCCTGGTGCGGGTGTGGCGATGGCGCGAGCCCAAGGCATGCGAGAAGTCCAGGGCGTGCTCTTACCAGAGCTCGGAATCCTTGGGATTCGGGTGATGCAGCCGGGGAGCAGCGGCGCCGCTGCGGCTCTGGGCATCGTGGACACTGGGGCGGCCTTCTCCGCGATGAACGACGCCGCTGCGCGGAGCCTCCGAGTCTCGCCGGAGCCCGGCGTCGCGATGATGGTCATGGGGGTGGACGGGCGGCCGCTAAAGCTGCCCCTGGCCAAGAATGTGAAGCTTCCACTGGGGGGCGCTCAACGTGAGGCCGGTGGATGGGAGACGGCCGTGACCCTCGCGACAGATGCGACTGCTGTAGGCAATCTCCCCGCCCTGGCCGCCTTTGTGGGGGACGAGTCTAAGCCCTGTGTCCTTTTGGGATTAGATGTGCTTTCTCAGCGTCGTATCCTCTTTGCATCAGGTGACGATCCCCGCAAACAACTGCTTTTTGTGGATGCCAAGTAAGTCCCAACTGCGGACGCCGATCTGAAGAACTCTGAATGGAGCGATGTTGAGGTCGTTTCCTGCATTGGTGATGCGAGAAAGTGTGCATCCGAGCCGGGCAAGGGCCGTGTAGAAGATCGGTACTTATGTGCAGGGGATGTGTAGAGGAGATGCCACTCCATGTGATGAGCTTCCATATGTCGTCAAACGAACCTCGTCGTAGCTTGACGTAGTTCCCTAAACCCGAAACCCTAAACCCTAAACTTAAACCCTAAACCCTGAACCCTGAACCCAAAACTCAAAACCCTAAACCCTAAACATGGGGATTCCTTGTGCAGTGGAAGCGGCCCAGCTTGCGCCAGGCCCTGCGCATCCCAGAGATGGAGAAGATTCTGCGGAATCTAGGCCTCCTTGCAAGGGCTCCGTTTATGATAATATAACAATAATGTTTTTAATTCTCATTTTTGTTATTCTTATTTTTGGTATTATTAATCTTATTCTTATTCTTACTGTTATTATTATTATTATTATTATTATGATTATTATTATTATTATTATTATTATTTGTGCTGATTGTAGTTTCAGCTCATATGGGTATTGACCAAAATAGGGTACCCCTTTTCTGCCCCACATAGAATAGAATCCCCTAAAGGGACCCCCAATAAAGGTACCCTCGTTTTCGGAAACCCCCATATGCCCCTCTTTTGTGGGAGCAAGGTCTGCGTGCGAATCATGCCAGGCACCCTCCAGCAGCCGTGGAATTGCCCACACGGACGGCCGACCATGCGACACCTCATCGACACCAGTAGCGCCAAGAAGGCAGTGAAGTGTAGAAGAGCTTCGGCTTACGGCAAGGGTAGCAACCGCCATGAGGGGAATAGTAAGAAAGCAGATTGCTGGTAATCATGACAAGACACCAAGAGTAAGAGACCTTCGCCGCCCCCCAAATAAAATACATACTAGTAATAGTAGTAATAATGGTAGTAATGGTAGTACTCGTAACAACAGTAATAAAAGTAATAATCGCAATAATCGTAAAATGATACTGACCACTTTCGCTCGGCTATCGCCAGGCGCCGCGCCGTGGGGAGCGGCTGTTTGCAGGCCACACGGAGGCCTCACGGGCCAGGCTGTTCAGAGCATCCGGGTGTAGGGGTGTAGGGGTTTTAGGGGTTTCAGGGTTTTTAGGGATTTGAGGCTTTAGGGTTCAGAAGTTTGGGGGTTTAGGGTTGAGGGTTTAAAGTTTGGGGGCTTGAGCTTTCAGGTTTTGAGGCGCGACGTCGTGGAGGCCGGAAAGAATCCGAGGGGTTCGCATGGGCGCGGGGTCTTTGAGTCATGGCAGAGCCTTTCAACGACACATCCCTGAGCCGCTTCAAAAAGGCTTAAGCCCCACGAGAGGCCATAACCCACAAATCTCGCAAAGCCCCCCTCAAACCCCTAAAGCCGCAGCCCACAAACTTGAAGCTGTAAAACCCTACACCCTGAACCTAAGCCCTAAGCCCTAAGCCCTAAGCCCTAAGCCCTAAGCCCGAAGCCCTAAGCCCTAAGCCCTAAGCCCTAAGCCCTAAGCCCTAAGCCCTAAGCCCTAAACCCGGAACCGTAAGCCCTGAACTCTTAAACCTTAAGCCCTAAACCCTAAACCCTAAACCCTAAACCCTAAACCCTAAACCCTAAACCCTAAACCCTAAACCCTGAACCCTGAACCCTCATAAGCCATCATGGCGCCACGCCGGGCGGCGGCGCTGGTTGCGGCGGCGGCGGCGGTACGGGTGGGGAACCGAGGAGTGGACACGCCGGGGGATGACAGGGTTAGGGTTCGGGGTTTAGGGTTTAGGGTTTAGGGTTTGCGGTTTGGGGTTTGGGGTTTGGGGTTTGGGGTTTGGGGTTTGGGGTTTGGGGTTTAGGGTCATGATGGCTATATGGGGGTTTACGACAATAGGGGACCCAACTAGCAGGATTTCCTTATAATCAGGGCCCCAACAAGGCACCCCTAATTTCGGAATCCCGCATATTGCTATTTTTACATTTTTTGTATTATTGTTGTATTATTTTATTAGTGTATTACTGTACTACTGTATTCTCGCATTATCGTCTTATTGTATTTGTGTAGTATCGTAGTATTGTATTCCTGTATTCTTGTATTATTGTATTATTGTATTATTGTATTACTAATTTGTATTCGTATAATATACGAATACAACAATCAATCATATTATAATTGTTTTACTGTATTCTTATATTATCAGCTTCTCAAGTAACGATAAGTTTATATTATGGTGTTCTTGTAATATTGTATGGATATAATGTTTTAGTCAATATGTACTATCTCGTTGTACATTCTTGCCCCGGAGCCGAAAGGCCCCCGAACCCTACACCCTAAAGCCAAACCCTAAACCCCCAAAAAATGTCAAGAACCCTCAGCGCAGATTGCCAAGAGATTCCAAAAGGGGTTGCTAAGTGATGGTGGTCCCTTGGAGTTCAGGGTTGGGGCCTTCGGGATGAAAATCGAGCAGCGGGTCACTGAGTGCAACAGCTGATAGCCCTCACCCTGGCCGAAAACCATAGTTGTGAAGGCCATAACGATGCAGATTCGAACAGATTCTGCTTCCATTCCCCAGAAGCCCTGCAAGCGCCATCGACAGATTATCTTCTTCATCGTGAGTGCGGAATACATCGGTTGGGGTGTTGGGGGTTTTGGGGTGACCCCTCGTGCGTCCTGGATCTGAGGAATTATATTTACTGCTCGATCTAGGGCGTCGTCCATGCCTGAGGCATACTCTTTTTATGGTCTGACTAGGAAACTTCCTAAGTTCTATCCTACTGCACGTAAGGAATTCAAAAACGGTGTTCCGTGCCCACCTTGGCACCAAGCAGGATTCTCCAGCTTTACGCCGGCGCGGCCGCCAGCTGTGCCTTTGTGACGTTTCAGCACCTGACTGATATGGGGGTTTTCCGAAAGTAGGGGGTACCTTATTGGGCAGAATTGGGGTCCCCCATTTGCGCAAACCCACATATGTGCACATTGGCGCACTCCAAGGCGCACAGTGACACGAAACGGACGTGGGGTGCAGCCCTGTTGGCTTCCCCCGAAAGTGCCACGTGTACGCCAAACCCAAAACACAAGGAAGACCCAGCCTGTACGCTAACCTCTGAAGCCCCCAAACCCTAGCTTCAATACCACCTACAGGCCTCGAGCACCCATGAGCCTGCACCCAGACTTTCAGCAACCTCCAACCAAGGCCCTCCGCCCAAGCCTGCGCTCCTTGAGCCTGCTTCCAGGCTTTCGTTTTTTTTGTTAGGGTTTAGGGTCTAGGGTTTAGGGTTTAGGGTTTGGGGTTTGGGGTTTAGGGTTTAGGGTTGGGTTTAGGGTTTCGGGTTTAGGGTTTAGGGTTTAGGGTTTCGGGTTCAGGGTTTAGGGTTTAGGGTTTAGGGTTTAGGGGGCCTTTCAAATCCTAGGTCGGATTAGGGGGACCCTTAAAAGGGAACCCTTCTCGCACAGGGACCTTATTGAGAGGGTCTATGTCCCCAAGGGCCCCCCTAGTCCTATCCCCGTATCAAGGGTCTGTGTCTCGGGGCGTTTTCGGGGAGTATAGCCCAGAGCTTGGGCGTGAGGCCGTCGCAGCTACCAAAGCGACTGCGGCGCCTTGCAGAGGAAGTGGGAACATGTGGGAGTGTACTGCTGACTGGTCTGTTGGAAGAGACCGTGGAGTGAGAGGACTTGCAAAGGGTACACTGGGCCGCTTGGACTCCCGTAGACGGCTAGGAGTGCAAGTGCATCTTCTGGACGTCTGGGACAAGTAGCACAGCAATGTGTGAGACGCTGTGAGGAGCCTCCAGGAGCTTGGGGAAAACCTCTCGGTGGAGGTGAACCCGGACTCGCCAGGCAGCGACAGCGGCTCGGATGGTGTACACATGAATCCAGCTGCTCAGGGGTTAGGAGGTGGCATCCTGATACTTGACGAGATCCGTCCGTTAGGAAGGCCCAGAATCCAGAATGTCTCCTCCCCGCCCAACTCAAAGCCCAAACCGTGGCTTTGCTGATGAGCCTCAAGCCCCAGGCATCAACCCCTGAACCCAAAAGACCCTAAGCCGTGGAGCCTATAGGGGTGTTGTCGGTGTAGGCACTCCGAGGCACTGGCCCAAAGCCCGGCACAGGTGCCGCCCTGCTGAGCTCGCCGACGCCGCTCCCGCGAGGAAGTGCGCCCCCCCTCCCGCTTCGTGCAGTGCTGCTTCCCTTGCTCAAGTTTGGGTTTGAGGATATTTAGGACTTATTTGAGGGGTTGAGGAAGGACAGCTTTTCTCGGTGGCTTGGCCTGGAAAAAACATTGTTGGTGCAGGAAGTGAAGTGTTCAGGGTCCAGCCGTCCTGCTTTGGTACATACCCCGTTCTTTCCGGTGTCAAAGCTACATCAGGCTGAAAGGCGTTGAGTTAAGTTGGCTTATGGTGCGAATGCAATAGCAGGTCGAGTGTTCGTGAACATGGTCAAGACGACTGCCGCTTCCCCACAGAAGGAGTGGAACAGTTTAGGGCTCGGGGGTAGTGAGGTTGGCGATCGGGCTTTGACAGCGGTTCGGGGCAGGGGCTGGAGGAAGAGGCTATGATCGCGCTTCTTGCGGCTGAGCGAGCTCGCAGCGTGAAGCACACAAAGAACGTCCGCAACTCGAACCCTGTGAACATTCACGAAAAGGTGCAAGCAACTCGAGAAGAAGCTCGACGCGTGCGCACACTACTGCTTTTTTGGCTCTTCATTTTTCGGCCTTTCGTCTTCGAATTCGTATGTGGCGTTTAGAGAACTTAGTGTTGTGACAGGCTACTTTTGTTTTTTGTTGGGTTGTTGGACTTGATGTGCTGAGGGAATTGCGAAGAGGAAATGGGCACGTTGCTGATACAGTGGCCGGTCGCAAGGTCCCAACCCTCTTGAAATATATGGGTTTACGAGAATAGGGGACCCCCATAACAGACCCCAAATAGTAGGATCCCCTTATAATAAGGACCCTAAACCCTCGCGCAACCCTAAACCCTAAACCCTAAACCCTAAACCCTAAACCCTAAACCCTAAACCCTAAACCCTAAACCTTAAACCCTAAACCCCAAACCCCAAACCCTAAACCCTAAACCCTAAACCCTAAACCCCCCAAAAAGGGTGTGTTCTGTCCCAGGTGGATCACTTCCAAGAAGTTGCCGCCACATCGCGCAGCCTGTCAGCTGCAGGCAGGTGCCCCGTTTGTGGAGAGTGGCGTTAGGGTTTAGGGTTTAAGGGTTAAGGGTTTAGGGTTTAGGGTTTAGGGTTTAGGGTTGAGGGTTGAGGGTTGAGGGTTTAGGGTTTAGGGTTTGGGGTCAAGAATGATATAAGGGCTCTTTGGGAACCTCGTGGGGCTGGTACGGCCGTTGCAGAAAGTAGCTTGAGAGTACCTTAAGAGGCTCGTGCAAAGAAGGCACCCGCATTTCTCAACATGCCTTCAAGCCGCAGGCCAGCCCCAAGCATGTGCGGTTTGCGAGGCTACAGGCCCGTTCCGCACGTGCCGGTGTCGCGCCTGTCCACGGACGAGGAATTTCAACAAACGCTGCAGATGCTGACCGAGGCCACACGACTGTCCGACTGCAGCTGAAAGCCCCTTGCCCCGCGCATGTTGCCCACAAAAAGCATCGTCTGCGTTCTAGCCCTACCCTGCAGCTCTAAACTGCGGCGACCTTGCATTTCAAGTTCTAGCCTGCGCCTGTAGGCCCCTGGGCCTGAAACAAACGGGTGCCCCTTTGATACCCCAAATAGACTAGAATCCCCTAAATGGGACACCCAAAACGGGTACCCCCCATTTTCGGAAATCCCCAAACAACCACTTGCCCCCCCCCCAGGCTGGAGCCACCGAGATGCTCCTAGTCGGTGGCAACGACATCAAAGAACGACAGGACCCCTTGTCTTGAGCCGTCAGCTCTTGCCGGGCGGGACCTAAATTTAAAGTCTAAGTCCCAAGTGCGACGTGGGTCATGAAAGAGAGGAAGCCTTAAAACGGCTCAAACCTGACCACTTGAGGAGTCCCTCAAGCAAAGAGGTCAGGAAACTCTACACCTTCTAAGGCCCTAAGACCCTAAACCCTAAACCCTAAACCCTAAACCCTAAACCCTAAACCCTAAACCCTAAACCCTAAACCCTAAACCCTAAACCCTAAACCCTAAACCCTAAACCCTAAACCTAAACCCTAATGAACCTCAACACCCCGAGGAGCGAGGCCTCCTGCTGTACGGCCCCTTGCCTCAAGCCAGTAAGGACTGGAACCTTGGACCCTGCAACCGAAGCCTTAAGCCCCCCTGCACCCTAATTGGTGAACGTTAAGCTTTTTGGGTATTCCAAACCCCGCGACAAGAAGAAGAGTTTAAACTCTTTTCAGCCAGGGTATTGGGCAACGATGTAAACCTCATGAACCCTGAGCCCGAAAGGCTAAACCCTAAACCCTACACAGCCCAAAAGGCAAAGCAATCTAGGCCATAGCCCCTCTCCAAACCCTTGCTGAGCCCTCTTCGCGACCTCTTTGGGGATTGAAGCAAATAATGTGGGCTTTAGGTGTTGGAGTTGCGGTTATAAGGCTTAGTGTTATAGATGACAAGGACGGGTGTGAGGCATCAACAAAAATTACGCACCCAGAAGAAGTATTACACCTTGCGGAGAAAAGGTAATTGACCGCCAAAGCAAATGACCTGGGAACCCTAAACCCCAAACCTTAAACCCTAAACCCTAAACCCTAAACCCTAAACTTCGAGGGGGGGGGGGGGGGGTGAGGTGGGCCTCCCGTGGGCCGGTGGGCGACTATACAGACGGAGCATGTTGGGATGTTCCCCCTTTGACTAACAGTCCTGAATAGGGAATTATCCTAGGGGGGGGGGGGTACTCGAATCCCTATCAAGGTATAAGGGGGGAACATCCCCTATGAGCATGAGTCAACGACTTTCCAAACAACTCAAGGTGGATCACACGGGTACACGATGGAGTGATCTATTGCGAAAGGATCGTGCATTTGCTTGTGCCATATAGGTTTTGAAGATAGGTTTCAATCTATGGAACCAGTCGAACTGAAATTCCGAACATGACCACCATTATCTCTCTCTAGAGGAAGCAGAAAGAACCGCATAGTCCGCATGTCAGTTTGCGGGACGGATAGGGCCAGGGAACTAAGGGTTTGAGGGTCCAAAGTGTCGAGATGTCTCCGGCTTTCACGTAGTGTAGAGCATATTATGATCATAATCCGTAAGCATCCCTGTCGCTGAGACATGTGGTGGAAGTGAAGACTGGAGCCTTGATGAGTGAGAAACTACATTGCACGTCTGGGCATGTCTTAGCTTACTTCAGATGTGCGTGGAAGCGTGTGAAAAAATGTCCTTCTTTGGGCAACCCCGTGGTGGCGCCACCCACAAAGGCAACCATGCTGCCCTGGGCCATCATCACTCAAGCCGCAACACCCCCCAAAACAGGAGCCTATTTGCCAGAGGATCTCGACTTCTAATGTAGGTTCCACAATTGCAAACTCAGGCAGTGTGGCCGAGCTTCTTCAGGCATCTCGGTTTGCACGCTCGCCCTGAAGCCCTCTACAGTCAGCACTCTGAGACTCGCCCTGAACCGCACATTGCAGCCGCGAGTGGATGCTTCACATCACCCGTCAGCGCAAAATGCTCCCGAACATGGGGCTCTGCGCCATGACTGGTCATCTGGTGGGTAGTTCCCGCAATAGGGGGTCTCCCTCGTATCCCCTTAGAGGGACCCTGCAAACTAGGGCTACCCCCTCCACCCTCATCCCTAAACCCTGCACCCTAAACCCTAAACCCTGAGCCCTAAACCCTCGGAAACCCCAGGGTCAAGGCTCTTGGAACCAAGGCCGAGACAGGACGCCTGCGCGCTGCGGGCATCCGCCGGGTCGCCCTCGCTGGGCTGCCAGACAGTTTCCTGTCACAAGGGTTTAGGGTTTAGGGTGTAGGGTTTTTTGGTTTTTGGGTTTAAGGTTTGGGGTTTTTGGTGTTCGGGTTAGGGTTTAGCCTTAAACCTTTGGCACTTCGTGCCACGTACTGTGGGATGTTCCCCCTTATACTAACAGTCCTTAACCCGGAATATAGTACCCCCCCCCTTTGCAGTCCCTGTTAATTAAGGGCTGTTAGTAAAGGGGGAACATCCCAACACGCCCACTTGCGACACTTGAAGTTCCATGCGTAGTCAATCGTAGAGTCAGAAGTGAATCGCTACATGGTTACCCTACCTGCTGTAGCCGTCTTCAAGGAACTCCTTTAGATTTTCAACTGTTATTGAACTACCACTATTGCTATAACAATTGTGATTCTTAAACTATTCTTGTTATGAATTTAGGACGAATGGAACTGAATTTTCATTTTTTTAGGTGATTTTTAAGGAATATTCTTCAATAATCCTGGGCCACGTGCGCCGTGCGAGGCCCCACGTGGCGGGGATGGAACGAGGAGGCGCTTGGGCCAGACTGGTGCCTCAGTAGAGCAAAGCATTGAGTGCCTCAGCTTGTGCAGACGGTGGCATGTCGAGGGGGGGGGGGGGTATGTAGAGTATGTAGAGTATGTAGAGTGGGGGTAGGGCATGTCGAGGCCTGTTGGGTTTTTCTGGGCGATTTCTGCTCTCAGCTTCAACTGGAGATTTTCTTTGGCGTGGCGTGCGCGCGCATGTTTGACAGGCCGCCGCACCTACCCAAGGAAACCCCCCCTGTGAGTGAAGGTGGCAACAAAGGTCCTCCTCGAGAAAGTGCCTTGTGCTCAGATGCCCCAGCGATGTAAGGTGCGGGGTTGAGGGTTTAGGGTTTAGGGTTCAGGTCACTTTCGGCTGCTTTCAGCCATCTTGGGCTTCAGTGGAAGCCTGACGGTTCAGGGGTTTAACTCGTTTCATGAGCCTGGTGCCTGAGCCCTCCTTTTGTCCACTGCCGATCGTGGTGCGACCATTGGCCACCCAAGACATGCCTTTCAACCCTGAGCCTTCCGCACTGAACTTCGCTCAGGCGCCTGGTGCTTGAAGCGGGTCTAGATGTTGAGGCCATGCGGGAGATGGGATGTGCACCGACTCGACGCGAATCGGGGGTCTCAGTGAGAGAGCGGCTGCGTGTGCGGGTGTTTGGCAGTTGCCCTTTGCAGATGACCAGGTCGTGACGCAGTTCTGCTTCAACCCCTTCAAGCTCCTGCGCTGGCTCACCCGTACGCACTCTGCCATGGAGGCATAGGGTTTAGTTCGGGTTTAGGATGATCAAGTTGACGCAGGTTCTCGGGCCTCTGTAGCCCCCTTTTCCCTGATCCCTTCGGAGTCCGCAACTGGCGCGATCCGATAAAGACACGCGCAAACTCTCAAGCTCAGAAACTCTGGGCACAGGGACTGCGCGCGGACTTGGGCGGCGTGGGCAGCGCGCAGCTTTCCGTGGGCCTTCCTGGCCCGACCCAGCGGAGCAGGCCGAGATTTTGGTTCGTATGGCCGGTTGTCGGGACAGCATTTGTATTCCGGGTACCCTCAACGGGGCCCAACGGGGCCCATGCTTTTGAGAACTGACCGTTTTTTTGGTTTTGGCCTGAATATGGGGTCTAGGATGAAAAAGTGCCCCGAGATTCGGAGTTGGCACCCTCAAGATCGGGCAAGAATCGGGGGGGGGGCCCGTCGCAATGCGGCCGCTGTGCCCTGAGCTTAATTCCCATTACTTGGGATGTTCCCCCTTATACTACCAGTCCTTCATAGGGATCATAGTAACCCCCTATTGTACTCCCTATTATGAAGGACTGTTCGGATGAGGGGGAACATCCTTACCCATCACATCCTTTCAGAGCGTGGAGGGTTCGAAGCATGGCCTTCCAATGGGGAGGGCCGGGGGGTCGTCTGCCTTTCTGGTCAACCGGCTTGGGCAGGCTGCTGCGGATCTCAGACATCTGCCAGGCTCGATCGTGCCCCAGATTCTCGACCCCAATCCTAAAACCTGAGCCCTCAACCCTCTCATCCAACCAAGGCATTTGGCCGAAGTCACACAGTATGATTTCGGGCTAGGTAAACGCTTTGAGATTCAGATCTTTGAGAAGTATCTATCGCAACACAAACTAAGGTTCTCGAATCGTCAGCGCTCTAATCCCAAGCTTGATCGAACTGCATCGAGAGACGATCAAGGACAACTGAACAGAGTGAGTTCTAGAAAAGGCTAAGCACTTTGGCCAAGAAGCAAAGCCTCAGAGAAATTCCATGACCAACTTTTGAGCATAGACCGATCAAGTTTTGAGCATGGAACGATTACTCAACCAAGACTCCGTTGTACTACAATCCCTACCAAGAACTGTTAGCATAAGGGGGAACATCCACAAGTTGGTAGATGCCGATGGTTGGGGTTCAGGGGGTTTCGGTGGACCATCCTCGAGACCCAAGACAGGCGCTGAGGCCCAGGAGGGGGGTTTTGGGTGCGAACCCCCTCGCTCTGCACTTTCTTTCTCTCGGGGCCCAGCACCCCGCGGCCCCGAAACAGAAACCCGAAACCCGAAACCCTAAACCCCAAACCCCAAACCCTAAACCCGAAACCCAAAACCCGAAACCCAAAGCCCTAAGCAACAGGTGCCAAGCCAGTACGCAGCTCCGTCGATGTTCCAGACCATCCTCCAGGAGCCCGGAGTCGAATGCCAACCAATATCTACAAGCCCGAAAAAACCCTAACACCCTACACCCTAACACCCTAAACCCTAAACCCTAAACCCTGACACCCTAACACCCTGACACCCTGACACCCTGACACCCTAGCACCCTGTCACCCCACACCCCAAAACCCTAAACCCTAACACCCTGACACCCTGACACCCTGACACCCTGACACCCTGACACCCTGACACCCTGACACCCTAGCACCCTGACACCCTAACGCCCTAACGCCCTAACACCCTAACACCCAACACCCCAAACCCCACAACCCTAAACCCTGAGACCACACAGACCCTGGTAAGATGCGAAGCGCCGAAGACGCAAGGCACCCGCTCTGCCGCACTGCCGTTGTCTGGCATTTTGGTCGACCGGGTCCCGGGCGCAACATTTGTGGGAGGCCCTGTGCACTACATCCACACATGAAGAACCTTGAGGCCAACAGTTCCTGGTTCTGAGGCATATGACAGTGAGGCCAGGGGCTACTGCGTCCGTTGGGGGATGCTTTCAAGGGCATAAGCGCCCTCGTAAATTTTGCCCCCCCCCCATGCAAGTGCGCAGGAAGGAGGAGGGCCCCCCGACTTCTCCTGTCTCGGCCTCAGACCAACCTCAGATTCTCAACCAGTCTAATAAATCAAAGCTTTCAGACCTACAAAACACAAAGCAACTCCAACAATCTTACAATAGTCTTTCTTTCACGCAATCCAGAACAACCGCTACAAACCTCGACCCGAAGCCCGACAAAGCCCTATACGACCCTACGCCCTTGCCTTTCGCTGACCCGAACGATTTGTCGATGCAGTCAAGGCTTGGGCCATGGGCTGCAGGCAGCTGCGACAGAAAGGCTCTCGTGACTTCAGACAGCTCACCTTCTTGCCTTACAGTTGGTTAGCAGGGACCCGATATATACCCTTAAAGGGAGTCTGTAGGGTACCTCCTTCCCCAATTCCCTACTAAGCAACAGTAAGTTGCAGGTTCATTTGTTGCTTCAGTACGGCTTTTGTCGGGTGCAAGCAAGTATGCGTACATGAATGTGCAAGTGGGTGTGTTAGGCATGTCCGGAATTACTGGAATGAAGGTGTATCGGGTAAGTATTTCTGGAGGGTTGTAGGCTTGCAGGGTTCAGCTTGGGTTTTAAGGCACGTTCAGGTTCTACGGGCCCAGGTTTGGGTTTTGCAGGGTTCAGGGTTTCAGGGCTTCGGGGATGAGGGGCTGGAAACAAGAGGTTGTCTCTCGGAGATTTCCGGAGAGAGAGGGCGCGGAGTGCACTGTAAGGGTCAGAAGAATCACTAATGGCATTCCCCTATTGGTCCGTATTTATTTTTTACTATACTAGCCCGCCCAAAAGCCTTATTCCAATAATTTAGGGCCCTACAGAAAAAGAGCCCCAACACACCCTCAGCCGCTGCCCGACGAGGGCAAGCAGATTGGAGAGACTGGGCCCACCGGAGCTGGCCCTGTTGCTGTCTCAACTCTCCGAGGCAGCCATGGCCCCGTTGCAGACCTTTTTTTTTTTTTTTGGGGGGGGGGGTTGGAGGTTCTGGGTAGGTTCAGGGTTTAGGGTGTGGGGTTTAGGGGTGTAGGGTTTAGGGTTTAGGGGTTTAGGGTTTAAGATTTAGGGTTCCCCTTCTACTAGCAGTCCTTAGTAGGGATTATCCGAGTAGAATCCCTACTAAGCCGAAGCACTGTTAGTATATGGGGGAACATCCCAGCCCCAGCCCTAAGTTGCTTGCTCTGGCCAGTTGGAGCTGGAGAAGAGTTCCGAGCCTGCGCCGACATCGGCGGACGCATTGGGCCCGTCTGCCTTTGTGTCTTCACACGAGGCAGCAGGGCCGAGAATTCCGGGAGGTTCATGAGTTCGGGTCACTTTGCTTGCGGGGTATGGGAAGTCCTCTCTATCTCTATCACACTTCGAGCTCTGTAACACGACGTGCCCTGCACTCGCAGCTTTAGGTTGCCGAATCGATGCACAAAGTCAACCGCTCTTCCGGCTGAACTTTGCGAGACAGACAAAGCTCTGAGACACAAAAGCCCTACGGCCCGAAAACCTTGAACCCTAAACCCCGAAATCCAAAACTCCAAAAGCCCAAAACTAAACCCGAAAACCCTAAACCACACAGTCCCGACCCTTTCAAGCCTAAACCGCAGACACTGTATTTGGGGTCGGAGTAATGGCTAGTAGTTTTCCCTTGCGGTCCCCATATACCTACATTATGAGATGCCTCCACCCAAATCCCTGTTCTAACTATTCAGGCCCGTGCTGTGGTTCCCTTATTTTCTTATTGCCCCCTGAAAGCCCTGTCCTTATTATGAAGGCACCCGCCATATTACCAGCACCTCGATAAGGATGCTCCTGGAGATGAGGAGGAGTCCCTGATCTCCCCCGAGGAGTGCTCAAGGGTCCATGGTGAGGGGTTGAGGGGGTTGAGGGGGTTGAGGGGGTTGAGGGGGTTGAGGGGGTCGAGGGGTCGAGGGGTTGAGGGTTCTTGGGGGTTTAGGGCTTAGGGTTTAGGATCCCCTTCCCCTGGTATGAGGCCTTCCGAGTTCCCGCCCGCTGAAAAACGCTTGCCGAGTCCTGGTTCGGGGCTCTCCTGGCCTGCTCCTTCCGCCTGCCATAGAAGCACACGCTGCAGTGTCCCCCTATTCTTCGTAGGGAATGAGGGACTTAGGCCCTAACTCCCTCATTCCCTACGACCAGCCGAGCAGTGTTCTGGAGCGGCCGGCCCAACCCTGTGCGAGCCACGAAACCTCCCAGGTTTTGAGGTTTTTCAGAGGCCTTCCCCCTAAGCCCCTAAACCCTAAACCCTATTGAGGGGCCTTTTTGGTTGGAGCCTAACCGCGTTTTGCTTCTCTTGCTCAAGAGGAAGTCGTTTACCCTCAAATCTAAACAGCAGAAACCTTCAAGGCTTCTGGGTGTAAGGGGTTTGGGGTTGAGGGTTTAGGGTTCCCTCGACTCTGAATATCATAAAGCCTGTTCTGGGGGTTTAGGGTTTAGGGTTTAGGGTTTAAGGTTTAGGGTTTAGGGTTTAGGGTGCGGGTTTAGGGTTTAGGGTTTAGGGTTTAGGGTTTAAAGTTTAGGGTTTCAACCCTTTTCTCCCATGATCTCAGCCGCGCCGGAGAGGACTTGCTGTGGTCTGTGGCAGCCTTCGCGCAGCGATCGCGGGCCTCGGTTTCTGCCCCACCCTTGGACATGATGTAGGGCTGGGGTTTAGGGTTTAGGGTTCAGGGTTCAGGGTTCAGGGTTTAGGGTTTAGGGTTGAGGGTTTAGTATTTTAGGGTTTAGAGTTTAGGGTTTAGGGTTAGGGTTCAGGGTTCAGGGATTAGGGTTTAGGTTGCAGATTGCAGGGTTTAGGTGAACTACGAGTAGGGTTTGGGGCTTTAGGGGGCGGAGGTATAGGGCTTCTTCACGGATTCGTGCTACTCGAAGATTACCGTTCTTTTCACGAAGATCCTTCTTTGGCGCTCAGAAACTCATATTTTTCACTCGCACATTCACTTTGTCTTCATGTCTCTTTTGTTATTATTAATTCCAGTCCATCCTCGGCTTCTGGTTCACGCGTTTCATGCGGTTTCAACGCACTTCACGCGTTCTTTGTAAGTTAGTTTGTAACCACTAGAAAGAACTGGTTGGGTGAGAGAGGCAAACGCCCCATGTCAACCCCAAGCGTGAATAGTTGACCTTGGAAAATAGAAGTCAACCAGTGAATGACAGGCATGAATGCTCTGACCTCGATATTGGATCGAGAGAAGAGGGATGTAGCTGATAAATGAACCGGGCGTCACATTTAGCATTGTCAAGTCAAACATAATAGAAGTGTTATGGTTTTCTCCTTTTACCTCTCTAGCCTTATTCAGATTACAATCATAACGCCTGATAATAAGAGAAGTAAATAATTGAACGAATTAGATTATAAGGACGAGTGCGACGAAGGGCGCATGAATGCCATTGAAAGAACGAATGAACGCACTAACTTCGCTCATGCTATTCGTATTCTATGAGTATTATAGCTTAGGACGAAGATTCTTGGTGTGCTCACACTTGACTATATTAACATTCGACCTTACTTCTATGTGGGCCTCATGAACAGAATTACGCTTCGGACAAGGGCTCAAGGAAGAAACAGATCCAGCTGAGAGCATTCCGAATCTGTCTGGGCCCACAAGTCGACACAAACGACGTCCGAGGTCAATCTCTACCCTTTTGGGGGCCTCTCGAAAAGCCTCGTGCTTGCGGAGACATTGAGGCGCGTGTAGGACCCCGACAAAATTCCAAACTGAGGGGTGTAGACAAGCTTATCTGGTGCTCCTCAGGCAGGCATAGAGCCCAGCTGTTGGCATCAGACGTAAACAAAAAGCTGCGACATGCATAGGCGCGCAGAACAAAACAGCACGCCGACTGTCACCTTTGAAGAAGATAATGCCATGACAGGTCTGGACGATTGTCGACTCCTTGAGGGTGAAGCGCTAGAAGAAGGTCGAATCCCTTTTCCGTGCACGAAGAAGGCTTGCTTCTGCCATGAGCAGTAGGACGAACGCGCCAAAGACAGCAAAGACAGGCGAGCGGTGAAGTTTGCAACTCCCGGCAGATGAAGTGTGCGCGAAAATGCCATAGAAAAGAGTTTGGACAGGACCATGCTCTGGGGCCTACCTTAGCTGTGAGTCTGGACAAGAGTGGTGCTCGTGACCGAATCGACAAGCAGCGCCTGCTGTGCAGCCGAGGCGTTGCAACCCTAAACCCGAAACCCTAAACCCTAAACCCGTGTAGACACCCTAAACCCAAAACCCAAAACCCTAAACCGTAAACCCTGAACCGTAAACCCTAAACCCTAAACCCTGAACCCTAAACTCTAAACCCTAAACCCTCAACCCTCAACCCTCAACGTTCAACCCTCAACCCTCAACCCTCAACCCTAAACCCTAAACCCTAAACCCTAAAACCTAAACCCTAAACCAACAAACCTGAAATCGTGCTGGGTGCTGGTTCAAGGTCAGCAGGTACGGCGGCTTGCCAGCAGTCCGGTTGGGGTGTTGTTCAGCCAGGTAGTGAAGGCTTCATGTTCTATTCCCTGAAGACACATCATGGTTCCTAAACCCGAAACCCTAGGCCCTCGAGCCTAAACCCTAGACGCGTCAACCCATGTCAACCCTCAACCCTCAACCCACTTTTGACCAGAGAGTGGTGCGCGAGAATCTACCCCATGGACCGTCGATTTGTGTTGAGAGGCCGGGCTTTCTCGTGGGGGAGGGGGGTTTAGGGTTTAGGGTTTAGGGTTTTTTTTAGGGGGCGTTTCGGGTTTGGGTGTTATGAGGGTGTGCTATCTTCGTTTGCGATTCCTACCGTTGCGATTCCTACCAGACCGTCATCGCTCAAGCCTCGGGAGTTTGCTGTAGGGTTTGTAGGATTGAGGGTTTCGGGTTGGGATGTTCCCCCTTATGCCGTCCTTAAAAGGGATTACAGTGCCGCCCATTCTAATCCCCATTAAGGACTGCTAGTAGAAGGTCGGGGGCCCCCCACAACAAGACCAGGACGGGGCCCGCATCATCGATGAGCACACAGAACCCACTCCCTCTGCCGTAGGCGTGACAGAGTCTTTCCCTCGCACCTTTTTTTTTTCAAGCAATTACGTCCTACAGCCCCTCTCCTTGCTTCTCGCAGTTTTTGGGCTGTTCCTTGACACCGCTTCTCGGCTCGTCGCCGGGGGTCTTTCCCGCGGCAAGCTACCTCTGAAGCTGCTCTTTGGACTCACTTGTTGCAGCAGGTCAGTCCGGAGCGCCCTTCTTGTTGAGCTTTGACCGCAGAGGTAGTTCCAATCTGCAAAATGCTGGCATATGTCTAGTGCGCGACTCCCATGTGCGCTCCATCACGGTACCGTCCCCCGCACCTCTTCCACAGCGTGCTCCAAACCCGCGTTTCTCGTGGTCTTTCTCTGCCTCTAGGCTCTGAGGCCTCTGTCGCCTCTGTCCCACCCCACTTGGTTGCACTTGCGTACCCGCCGTATGGAACCCTTCGCGGAGAGCGGCGATGGCGTCTCGGGAGCTGTTCTGAGATGTGAGGGCGCGGGCCGGGGGGGGGGGGAAGAGGTGCCGGCCGCAGGAACATCTGTGGACCATTTCGCTCCACTCACTCCACTCACTCCACTCACTCCACTCACTCCACTCACTCCACTCACTCCACTCACTCCACTCACTCCACTCACTCCACTCACTCCACTCACTCCACTCACTCCACTCACTCCACTCACTCCACTCACTCCACTCACTCCACTCGTTCACTCACTCGATCACTCACTGGTTCGCTCACTCACAAACTCTGCTATCCCTGTCATTGATCTTTTTGTTCTTTTTTTGGTAGTGTGGGTTTGTTGTTGTTATTCATGCTTTATGATTAGTTGGCATTTTGCTTCTGGTTCTGCTGCTTAACTGCAGCGTTCTTTGCTCGTGGTCTTTTTTGTTGGTTCTCGCTGTTCCTTTCTTCGCCAAGCAGAGCACCGACCGGACGGCCACACGTCGGACAGCACCGGCCCGCTTGGAATTACACTCCGCTCTGTGTGCACATGTGGCCCTCACGCCCCTGGTCGCAGTCTCCGGCTTTGGCCGTTCCCTCATCGTGCTCAACCATGGCTCGTGTCCCCCTGTTCCCCCTCAATTGCTGGGCGTTTGAGGCTTGAGGCCCGGAAGGGTATTCAAAAGCAGGTTACGCATCAGCTGGTTGCTCTTCATTTGGATCCGGCAAGATGCTGGATTAAGGTTGGTCTGAGGGTAATGCTTCTGGTGCAGGGCTATTTCGAGATTCCACACAAGCAGAGGCGGGCCTGGACCCCAAAGAAACTGTTAAATCTAGGGCTCTGCTAGTAGTATTCCCTCATGATTCCTTTATATTTATACGATCATAACCCGCAAAACCCTGAATTTAAGAAATTACATGAATGAAACGAATGAAATGAACTAGATGGTGAATTCTGAAGGCCCCTATAGCTGCGTCACTTGCCAGGTCAACGGCTTAGATTGGCATAGATGTGGTCGCCCGAAACGTCTATGACGCCTTTTTCATTGGAGGACTGAGCCTCCGGGCCAGGCTTTGGGGTTTGGGGTTTGGGGTTGGGGTTTGGGGTTTGGGGTTTGGGGTTTAGGGTTTAGGGTTTAGGGTTTAGAATTCAGGGTTCAGGGTGTTGAGGGCACTTCAGGGATGTGTGGGTGCCTTGCGAAGCCTCAGCACCCAAGCCCGGAAGCCCAAGATGCCCCCAATGACCTGCACACTCCCAATGCAAGCACGCGTTTAGGGTTTAGGGTTTAGGGTTTAGGGCTTCGGGTTTAGGGTTTAGGGTTTAGGGGTTAGGGTTTGGGGTTTAGGGTTTCCGAAATTAGGGGTACTTTTTTGGGGTTTTGATTACAAGGAACTCCTGCTATTTGGGGACTATATTAGGGGTCCCGTATTTCCATAAACTCCCAAGGGTCCTTCGTCAGAGCAGCTGCTTTTGAGGGAGTGGGAGACCATCTAAACCCAACTAAACCCAACTAAACCCAACTAAACCCCAGACCCTGAACCCTTAACCCGCTGCAGGAACCGGAGGCCCCAGATAAGGGGCTATCAATTTGACTTCTTCTTTAGGCTTGTATGCACTCTTGCAGACGCAACATGGAAATTACGGGGCCTCTTGTTCTCCGCATAGCTATAGTAAGGTCTTAAGCACAACGTTGCCCCTGCTTCGGAGTGCCGAAATGCAGAAGGGTAAGGTATTGGCTATGGGGTCCAGCCCTGCCCGTGAACCCGAAACCATGCATTAAAACCCTAAACCCTAAACCCCAAACCCTAAACCCCAAACCCTAAACCCTAAACCCTAAACCTTAAAGCCCAACCTGAACCCTTTCTTCCAGGAGGGGGCGACCACGATTATGCTTCGATCCTTGCCCGCCTCAACAACACTTCGCAGCCTCCTCCAGATCCTGCAGCCCTTGGGCAGAGGTGTCTATGATTTTGCCTACCTACCCAGGCCTGGGCACGCACTGTGGAGAGGCTTGCAGCTGTGCTTAGGGTTTAGGGTTTAGGGTTTAGGGTTTAGGGTTTAGGGTTTAGGGCTTAGGGTCTAGGGTTTAGCGTTTAGTAGGGTTTAGGGCTTAGGGTTTAGGCTGTCGGTTTGGGGTTTACAAGGTTCAGTCTGCCTTGGTTTCAGTGCATCATCGGTCGCACACTGCGCTTGATGTACTGGTTCAGTCCTTCAACCTCGTGTGCGACCTGTGCTGGTTTTTTGTGCTGTTGCTGGTCGCCGCGTGATGAACACACCCCATGGTTCCCAGCCATAAGCCCGACCCTGCGCGCCAAGCCTTCAAAAGGTTATAAGCCCTGACTGAAGGTGTACCCGGCAGCGACATCGCATCGTGGAGTGCTTTGGCAGATGTGACTTTATGTGAAACTTCGTGCAAATATGCTGGAATCCGGAACCCGTGTTTCTTTTCTTGTTGTTGCGGCTTTTCGTTAAGCCGACCGAAATAAGCCCATGCCTCCGCAGCAAAAAACACAACGCGCCCTTGGAAGGGAGGACCACACAGCCAGCCAGGGCAGACCAGCAAGTGAGTGAGGGAGCCCGCGCCCCGGTTGCAATGAATAAAGCGCGTCCAGAGCAAAAGGAATGCAAAACGCGCCAGGCCTGCACTCCACAAAAAACAATAAAACGTACTTGGCCTCCAAGCAAAACCACCGCCAGGCTTCCACAACAAAAAAAAGAGCGCCAGGCCTCCACAGCAAAGAAGCCCTCGCAACAATGAAACACTCTACCGCTGGAATCCGCAATGCCTGAAGAGGACGAATCCTGAGAGCAGTGCATGCCACCATCCGAGAATCATTGAAGCAGTACAAGCGTCCTGCATGTTGTCCAACAGTTCTTGCCAGGTGTAGCCTAATTAATCTTGATTTGTTTATCTCGTCACTGGCGTTTGATTTCGCCCTGAGTATCCGCCGCATTCGATCGCTAGGAGGCTGAGCAAGGAACAGTGGAGCGTTCAATGCCAATCGTTTGGAAGTTCCTCAAAGTTCCTACACGTACATGGCTGACCTACTTAATTACCCCCAACCGTGTTCGTCCAAAGCTGTCAACCTTGCAGATGCCGTGACATTCAGGGGGCGGTTGCGGCCCACTGTGGTCGAACTGATCAACATCAATATTTAGAACTTCGATCCTGAGCCGTCGACTTCGGAGCATGAGCCAAGCTGCATGCATCGCTGACAAAGGCTCGCTTTTCTCAACTTTGTGGAGACTTGGCTTGACTTGGGGGTGGGCCCTGTGTGCGCGAGGGGATGGGTCAACCCTCCTGCAGGTTTAGGGTTTAGGGTTGAGGGTTGAGGGTTTAGGGTTGAGGGTTGAGGGTTTCGGGACCTCGAGAAAGAGATAATGAAAAACTATTGTTTGCATGAGTGATTACTAGTATCATGGCCCGCCTCACGCGCCCCGGCCCACCCCTCCCTGCCGGCCTCTCGCAGGCATCTGTTGGAGCCACCACTTCCACACACAGGGTTGGGAGATACCGCTGTTGCTTGCCATGGTTTTTGCAGGTGTTTCGGATCACCTGATCTGTGCCGTAGCTGTTGCTTCAAGTCGCGACCCTGGACATCTCAATGAGTGTTGCCTCAGAGCATTCAGTTCCTTGTTCGGGAGAGGTCCCAGGGGTTCCAGGGGTCCCACACAGGAAAGGTGGGCCAGAAGAGGAAACCAGATCCTGGCCTGCTTGTTCTAGACGCCTCTGGACCGGAAGCTGGGTGAGTTTACAGTATTGGGGCCTGCGAACACGCAGACCGCATGTGGGCCTGAGAGCCTTGATTTGGGCTGCAGCTGGTGGAGCCGCAAGAGCAAGAGAGGAACCCCCTTCACAACGGCACACAGGCTCCACCGTCTCCACCACCACAGCCCCTCCGGACACGCCGGTCGCCACAGCATGTCGCAGCCACATCCCAGAGAAAGTCCACGCCTCAATGCCCCCGGATGAGGGAGCTGGTGCTGCACAAGCGCATGTGAAGCAGGCTTTATATTGCTGTTATCTAAAGAAGGTTCCTTCTTAGTCTTGGTGAGTGTATAGTTTGGGTGTCCTTTTGGGGTTACAAGGAATATTATATAAATATAACTGCTACCCCCCCCCTCCCAAAGATCTACGTATTTTCATGATTTGGCGATGTTAAGTTGAAGACTTGCATGGGCCCGGAGGCGATGTGAAGTTGAAGATCTGCATGGGCCCGGAGAGGTGAGGATGAGTAGAGGATGTCTGTTGGAAAGATAAGCAAGAGACTATAAGCCTATGAAGTATTCGTGCGCATAAGGTGATGTGGAAAAAACACTGTATTTCCCGAGGACGCGGGAATACTGTGAGCAAATATCCTTTCATTCTTGGGACCTTCCAACATGCTGCGAGGAGTTGCTCATTGAAGATTTGCATGGGCTGCATGGGCCCGGATAGATGAAGATTAGTAGAGGACGTGTGTTGAAACGCTAAGCAAGCGATAGTTTCATTTTCCGACGGCTCTACCGTGCTACCCCGTTGGAGTTGATAAGACACTGTGGCCTCTCAGGCACTACGACCGAGCAAACATAGTACGGGATCTTCACTTCTGGGCGATGATGTTGCTCATGTACCGCCGCATGAGGCTGCCCGTCTCCAGCCACATGTCCTTGCCCCTGTTCCAGTACGCGTACTGGGCAGAACGGATTTGAGCAATGATCCGCAAGGAACCAGTTTTGGCGCGTTGGTTCACGCGAAGGCGCTCCTTGACGAATCTCCACCCGCGGTCGACGATCTGCGTTCCGATCTTCACGGAGACTTTGCGGCCGCGGGCAAGGCCACTTTCTTGATCTTGACATAGGTTGGCTGTTGCCAAACCCATTTATTGCCCACTTGGACACGGCGCTTCTTGTGCACGACAGATCCATGAACAACGCCTGGAATTTTGAGTTTGTAAGCTCGAGCGCTGTCGGAGTGGAGGATTACGTGCTTATAGGGCCTGGACCTGGCGACCTTTTCTTCGTGGGCCGGGGTGTTGCAGTCATGACACGCAACTTTCCCTTGTACCGGTGCATTCTATAAGTATAATGCAGACAAGATACGGGGGAGTCAATCGCACAAGCTACCCAATGCTCCCACTCCATGACCTTGGTGGGATCATCAGCCTCCTCAATCGGAATGAGCTTTTTGTCGAATACGGATTCGTCCACTTCGACATCTTGCCACTTGTTCCCTTTACCCCCGAAGCTCATGGTTCTTTGAGTCTCTTCCACAAACTTCTTGCGAACAAGTGTGAGGTTATGCTCCATCCGCTCGATAGCCTTGTGATTGATCTGGGTCACCACGTGGATCGTGCTCAGAGGCACATTAGCAAGGCGGAAGAGCAGCATCCCTGGCATCGTACTCATTCAAGGAGGACAGGTGCTGGAAAGTACGTTTCCACTTCAGACGATCTACACGAGGAGCCTTGTTTCCTGTGCGGTTGTACGGCGTTTGTTTCCAAGCCTTGCCTTGTGCACGATTGGAGGATGCTGCCTTGGCGAGGTTCCCCTTCGTGAGCACGCGTGTTTTTCCTTTCTTTGCGACGGGAAAGTGATAGGCAGGCTTCTTGCACAAGCACTTGCCCATGATGCTGAAGCGGAGAGATGCTATGGCAAAAGGACTCGACTAGTAAAACCCATATCTCAGGGTGGAGCCAATAGTGAGCAAAGTGAATCTCACTGACCATGCACTCCGACGGTGAGGCCAAGCGCCGTCTGGATATTATTCAGCATGACGCGCAAGTCCATGGAGCTCAACTGTTGCTGCGCCGCTGTTGATGGCCTCCAAGATTTGCTGGTCCGAGCGCTGCGTGGATATCGTCCATGGAGGATTCGGACTGGAAGATGATGAGCCCGCGCCAGATTCGGGGAAGTTGGACGTGGTCATGCTCCCTGATTTCGGAGAGATCTTCAAGTAGGCGGAGCCATGCTTGAACAAGACTGTGCCAGCAACTGGAATGCGAGCCAAAACACAAATGGTCGCACTCGTGACTTGTTACGACAGTGTGTGCTAGCAGATGCTCCTGATGCTCGGGACATCGAAGGTGTCCCGCTATGCTCTATACGCCCGAGTGTAGATCTACACTGAAGGCATATGCTACATGTGGAGACATGTTGATACATTTACATGTTGCCATTTTGGGACAAAAGTGCCCCAAGCTAGGGGGGGCAATTTTTCTTGTGCGAGGAAAGGGAACGGTGCTAGCGCCGCTGGCCATGGCAGCTGCAAGCTCAGCACAGGCTAGGGTCAATGAGCAGCTAGATCAGAGCTGGGACTACCTAGCAAAGTGCGGCTTTGGGCCGGAAGAGCTAGCTACCATGGATTGGACGGAATGCCAGGAGGCCGCTAAGCAAATGGCCTCTGAACTAGCATTTCCTGCTATCTGGACGTGGGTGGAAGAAGCTCGCGAAGAAGTGAAGCTACTGCGGAGAGCCAGGGGTCTCTTCCAGCCGGGTCTCACTTGGAGGGAGCTAATCCCTCTACCCGAAGTGCCCGAGGTGATAGCTGCGACGGCTCCAGATCCAGCACCTCCGAAGGGGGACAGGAACCGGAAGCTACTAGCCGAAGGTGCGTTGAACGAGGCCCGTGAAGAGAGGCTGCAGAGCTACTGGACTTCTAGGCTGAGGCTAGAGTTGGAGAGTTCGGAGGCCCCTGTGCTGAAGAAGTTACAGGGAAGTCTGGACCGACCTCGTCGATTACCTGGTCGCTAGGCGTGATGAACCCTGCGGGAGGACAGTGCCCGAGGCTATCATGAAAGCGATAGCGTGGTTCAAGAACGTGGCCGAGTTCCCAAAAAGAGGAAAGGGCTAGTCAGGGCCGACTGGCATGGGCCGCCAAAGACAAGATAGTCGAACAGCTTTCAGAAGGAGCTAAACTCACCAAGCGTGCTCCCCGCTACTCGGCTTGGATGGTGGCAAAGATGGAGAAGATCGTAATGGATGATAGCCACCGTGGGATGGCGGATATGGGCCTGGGCTAAGCTAGTCAAGGTCTGTGCTTCACTCCGCTGGTCGGACATCCAAGCCATCATCCCAGGCGAACTGGCTATGGTGGAAGGCCGGTTGGTGACAGTGCTAAGAAAGACGAAGACCTCGGGACCGAACCGGAGGATCAAAGAGCTACCGGTGTGTGTGTGTGTGTGGCACACCGCTGTACATGCGGGTTCGTGAACAAGCAGGAACATTTTTGAGCATATCAACAAGTTGTCGTTTGAAAACCAGCAGGGGGCCGAGGAGAGTGTGGACTGGGGTGTGGGGGTCCTCGGCCAACGAAGACGCCCCCACGCCCCACCCACACTCTGTGTAAACGTACCTGCGCTTCAACATTTCTTTTCGTTGTGCATGATGCATGGGTGAACACTTTTGGTGACAACGCAGCTTTTCCAACATGATTCTGCATGAAGCATGGATGAATTCTTTGAGCTTGACATCATCGCAGCTCCAGACCTACGGTGCACGTACGCCAGTCCTGATCACCCCGCTGCAGCACCCATGAAGTGTGAAGCATCAGAGCATGAATTGTGGAGCATCTGAACGTGATGAGCAGAGTTGTGTGAGCATGAATTGTGGAGCATCAGAGCATGAATTGTGGAGCATCTGAGCGTGGCGAGCAGAGTTGTGTGAGCATGAAATGTGGAGAATCAGAGCATGAATTGTGGAGAATCTGAGCGTGATGAGCAGAGAAGACCCTAAACCCTATATGATATGTCATATAAACCTTCATTCGCGACCCTTCTACCTCATCACTTGCGGGCTCATCCACTACCTCTTGCTCGAGCATCTCTACCTTCGGAGCATCTCCATCTACCAGTTTATGTGGAAGCACTAAAACAAAAAGTGTGTTATACAGCCAGCCCGCCCTCGCCTTGGGCCGCGGGTGTAGGTGGAGCCTCGCTCCTACGCGTTCATGCTGCCTATGTTAGTCTTCACTTCGGTGCGGACGCATAGGATAATCCAAAAATGTGAGCTCACCTGGCGAGTGAGAATGAAAAGTCCTATCGTTTTCATTGCACTAGTAACATGCCGGGCCCATTAATGTGGGTGCCAACGATGCTCAGCAAGACGGCCGGCGTGCCGTATGTTCCTCGATTGTTAGTCGTGACCCAGCCCCCGGCGAGATTGGCAACTTTTTCTGTTTCCTTTTCTTTCTTTTTCTTTTTCTTTCTTTTTGTTCAAAGCTACCGCCGTAATAACTAGTTTTCTGAAATAGTTTTTTTTTGTCG